CAGAAATATGAGGAACAAGTTTCAGAGACTCACAGAAGAATTAATAAACAACACACACACACACACACAACACACACACACACACACACACACACACACACACACACACACACACACAGACACACACACACACACACACACACACACCACACACACACTGACTGAAGGTGTAACTAATCATGGTGCCTGAGCTGCAGGTTTGTTTACAGCCCGTCTGATCGTCTGTCTGCTCGTATTTCTAACCCGCCGTCGTGTTATTATTACCCCGAGGAGCGGTGCAGTTTGTCGTCTGCAGATTGTAAAACACTCAGAGGCCGATCTCCGGAGCGGTAACACACACACACACACACACACACACACACACCACACACACACACACACACACACAGCGAGTCACAACATGTTCGATGTTTCAGTGTGTGTGACTTCCAAACCGCCTCACATGGATCTGATCGCCGAGCTGAAGAAGAGACAGGTGACCCCTCTGGTGAGGAGGGAAGGACGGGGCGATCGAGGACATCATCACAGGTACACAACACCTGAACACACACACACACCACACACACACACACCACACACACACACACACACACACACACACTAAAACACACACACACACACACACACACACACCAACACACACACACACACACACTAAATACACACTAAATACACACCACACACACACACTAAATACACACAGTTTTATCATAACTGATGGATTCATAATTTGAGGATATTCCGGTTCCTTCCACGCGCTCTGAGGTGTTTTTTAAAAAGGCGGCTGTGGCTGAAGGTCGGGGGTTCGATCCCCAGCTGCTGCAGCCACACGTCCGATATGTCCTTTAGCAAGACTCTCAACACCAAGACCGCAGCCTGTACAGACTGTGGAAATTGGCAGTTTGAGTTATTGTGTATTTGGCTCATTACTGCCCCCCTAATGGTCAATCACTGCTAAGACACCCAGTAGAACCTCACAGATTTTAGAAGGTGTTTTTCTCCACAGTGGCCACAAGGGGCGACACTGAGCAAACTTTTAAAGGAAACTAAAAACAAAAGACTGTTTTTATGCTAAGCTAAGCTAACTCAGGCTTGATTTCAGATTTCTCTTTCTCTGAGAGGACACAAATTGTTTTTGTTTTTACATTTGTAGCACTCTGAGCTTTTATTCTTTATGTTTTGTTCTCAACATTTTGATTTCCCTTCAAAAGAAGTTGATGTAGCTCTTTTAGTGTTTTTTGTTTCAAAGAGGATTTTATTTGTTTCCTCTCTTAGCGTGTTTGTTTGTTTTCATCCTTCAGTTAATCTCCTGTCTCTGCTTTTCTAAACATGTCACCTCGTTTTACTCTTCACTCCTCCTGTCTCTCTTTGAAGGCTAATCTCACTTTTCCTGTCCTCCTCGCTTTTTTTGTCCCTCCTCTCTTCCCGTCTCTTCAGCTCTAAAGTCCGTGCCCTTCACGGCTCGCTCTGCCAAACGCTCCTCTCGTCTCTTCTGTGACTCCGTCTTCAGCGAGGAGGTGACGTCTTTAAATCCCTCACAGCTCTGTTTCTCTGCCGCTCTGCTGATGATTCTTTTTCCACAAGCTTTTCTTGGAGTGTAACAGATTTATTTTTTTATCTTTAATGAGTCGGGAGTGAAACATGATGTTCTTGTGCACCTGATTTAAAGGTTATTTTAGTATTTATTTTTAAAGCACAAAAAAACGAGACCTACTCCAGTCAAAGCTGACACTGAATGTAGCTGGAGATAATCTGTTTTTGCATTTAAAGGAGCAGTATGTAACTCTGACCTAGTGTTTAAAATGGGTACTGCAGTCCAGATTCTAAACATTGTAGAGAGCTGTCTCCCCCCCTCCTCTCTAGAGTCGATGCTCACTCAGGTCACCATGTGGTGGACTCTGAAGCTTCAGTGTTTATCCAGCTCTGCATGGGTCTGTAAACCTTTCTGTGTTCTAACCTCTCTCCATTTTTCAAAAGCATCTCCAATATTGATCCTAGTTTGAGCACGTTTCTGCTCGTGGAGCTTATTAGAAACATGCAGAGGCTTTTTAGCTAGCCTCCTTTTTTCAGCTGATGTGAGAACGCAGCAGGGGGTGGTGACCTTTATTCCTGTGATCGCTGCACGACCATAGACTGTCTGCACGATCTCCATGCTCTAATTAAACGGCTGCATTATGTTTAAAAGTTCCTCATTGACTAATATTACCTTTCAGCTCAGGTTGTTAAGTTCTCTTAAAGATACATCATTTGACTTTTTCAGGAATCCACATCTCAATAAGAAAAAAAATGACTCCCAGGATTTAGTCAGTAGCAGACCATCGAGTGCTCGAATAGTTAAAAGTCAACTTTGAAAATGTAACTTTCATGAATCTCTTTAAGGTTGCATGTGTTGATTTGCTGTTTAGAAGAAGTGATTTGTGTTTTCTTGAATACCTGAGTATCTTTCAACGTCCTCGCTCTTTGTCTTCAGATTTAAGGAATCAGCCGTACAGACGGACGGACGGCAGCCGGCGCAGCACCAAGTGGAAACCAGGACAGCAGCTCCACGTGTCCTCAGACATCTCCCTGTGAACAAAAAAAACGAACACAACAACAACTACACACAAAGCACAAAGCGCCGCCATAAACTCACCACAGCAACCGGCTCGTCGTCTCCTGCATGCTGAAGCCTGCAGACGTGAGCCTGCACGAGATCACACAGAGACGCTCCTTCCTGATGAATTAGAAACTGATGATTGTAGAGAGGATCTGTGATTTAGACAATCAGATATAAGAGAGGATATTATCTGCTCTCAGAGATAACCACGCCGGCTGTCATACGAGCTCGTTAAGACGATTAAATGTTCGGCAGAGACGCCGCCGCTCGCCTCAGAGTGACTCTTCAAAGACGTCAAACTTTGATGGACGGAGCGCCGCTCATAAATCATTTTGATCGTTTTCTTTAAAAAAAAGCTCCACACATGATTTTTTAATTGGTTTTATTTGAAGTAGATTATTAATCGAGCTGTCCGTCGTCCCGTCCTCGAGGAAACCTCAAATTCAGGCTGAAGATTTGTAATATATTTAAATTATTTTTACTACTGAGGCGTAATGATGGAGAACTTCGACTGTGCTTCTGCATTTCAACTAATAAACCATTTTATACCGTCACCACGTGTGTGTCTCTTTACTTTATATTTTTACTTTGTTTCCATAAAGTCTGTCCTGTTACATCAAAATGCTAACATGCTAACATCCTTATTTGAAGCTCAGATATACCGACTAACACACCTTTAAGTCTTCAAATAAGACCATGTGTGTCCCCATATGTTCACCACATTACTGTTTACAGTTTAGAGGAAAGAGAGAGGACCCGGGCGGAGATTATACTTTCAACACTTAGGAAAGAGAAGTGACCACATTACACCTGTCGCTGCTTCCCTTCATGGCTCCCTGTGAGTTTTAATATTGCTTTCAGGATGTTATTGACAGTTTTTATAAAGCCTTTAATGGCCAAGCCCCGCCCTTTTTGTTTGATCTGCAAAGGCTGGTTACACACTCGACCATTTAAGGCCTGATGGGGGCGGAGCAAACAAACACACAGGTGGGGAAATTAAGGAAAGTAAAACTACTAATGCAAGCTGAGGCAAGTGAACAGGGGCGAGTGGCCGAGTGGTTAGGGTCAGTGGATGTTGTCCTCAAAGCGGGCAGCCCGGGTTCAACTCCGACTTATGGCTCCTTTCTTGAATGTCAATCCCCCATAATTTCCTGTTTCACATTTCCTTCCGCTGTAACAAGCTCCAACTTTTGTTTCATTTGCACACAAAAGAAAAAGATTTAAGTTTCTTCAAAGGAGAATTAAAAACTACTTTTTCAACACCTGAGCTGCAAGTTAGCGTCACAACATTTAGATGTGGTGTAAGAGAGTCTGCAGAGAGGAAGAGGAACAGCTTCATACCTGAGAGACACTTTCTTTAAAAACAGAGAATATGACGTTTAAACCCTCACTGAGGTTTTTTCTCCTTTTTCAGAAACTGACTACAGCGGACAAAAACAGAAAGTGTTTCTCTGCCGGTGACCTTTTCACCCCGCAGATCTTCAATCGATCAAAGCGAGGAAACAACACAAACACAAAGACACAATAACAGAGACTTCTTTCCTCCTGAGATCTGCTCTCGTATGAGCGGTTATTCCTCCTCATCCCGACTAAGACATCCTGAGCTCGGAGGGTTTTCTGCATCGTGTCTTCATCTGCAGATATTTTCTCCTGCTGTTTAAGAACCATGAATGGATTAACCGCTAATAGGCAATATTAATTACAGATTTATGTTTTTCCTCGACATGAAACGACGGGTTAATTAACAGATTATAAAACGGAGAGCTTTTTCAATAATCTGACTCAGTCATTAAAAGCAAGAAGGCAAAAACACAGATTCAATTTTGTTGGTAAATATCCTGTTTAAGTTATTTTTCAATCACATATTCTCCTCCTCTTCCTCAGTTTAAATAAGTCTCAGAGCTCCTCAAAACGTGTGTGTGAAGTTTCTTGTTCTAAATCCACTCTGATCCTGTATTTGATCATGTCTATAAACCCCTCTATTTCAGCCCTGCTCAGAACAGACTGTTTCTGTGTCTGTACCTTTAAATATGTAAATGAGCTGTGTCTGACCACGCCCCCTCTCTAGAAGGACTTGGGTGTACTCGGTCTTTCTCGCTCCATGTCCTATTGTTTACGGCAAGAAGGCAGACTCAGAGGGCAGAACAAACACCTAGCTGTGGGAGTGTCACCCACCTGGGGGAGGGGCTACTGCCCTTTGTGATGTCATGAAGGGAAAATTTCCAAACAGCCTGTTTGAGCACACATTTCTGAAAAGTGGAGCAGGTAAAAGGCGTAGAGGATGGACTTTTCTCATCATGGGGGGTTTGTAGACGGAGTAGAGACACATGTTAGAGTTAGAGAAACATGGAGAAGAGTGTGTACAGAATTTGTGACCTTGGAAGATTTCAATCAAAATAAGACATTTAAAAACATATATTGCTCCTTTAATTAAGTATATTCAAAGATCATGAAAATGTTTTTATGCTCAGCTAACAGTGAAGATTTTTACTTTAATTGATTCCCATTAGGTTTCATTTTGTACAATTAATTTTTATTTTTAAAGCAGCTCTATTCCCAGCAGTTGTTTTGAGTCGTGGTTCGCTGACGGTCTTCAGGGTTTCCTCAGTGAAACCAGAACTCGTTGCGCCTCCTCTCTCGTCCTCTTCAGCTCCTCTGTGATTGTTCTGCTTTGTCTCGCTGCTTCTTCAACACCGGAGACAAACTGTGACAGATCCGAGGCCCTCTGAGAGTCAATCAGAGTTCTTTCCAGCGTTGTCACGGACACCAGAGTGTTTTCCATTTGTGCGGCTACACCGCGCACGCCGTCGCTGTCGTCCACTTTCTCGCCCATCGACTTGATCGCCTTCATCTCTTCCATCAGAGGTTTGATGGTCTCTCTGAAATCTCCCGCGGTCTCCTGAATCACTCTCATGTTCTCCGACTTCTTTTTCTGTCTTTTTGAGTCTTTGGAAAAGCGACCGAAGATGCTTCCCACTAAGTAGCTCGCAAATCTTGTTGCGTACAACCCGCCAAAAGCACCGCCGACCGCTCCGCCCGCAGCGCCGACCGTCCCGCCGAAAATACCTCCGATTGAACCTCCGGTCGCACAACCGATGGTGAACCAAGCCACATCGCTGACGACGCCGTGAAGCGGACTCTCAGATCCTCCCGCTGCGGCGCCAACTGCTCCTCCAACAGCGCCACAGAAAACTCCCCCGACCACGCCGCCCAACACGCTGCCCAGGAAGCCCACAGTCGCACCGACTGCGCCAATTTGACCACAAATCCTGGTGAACGTTGCCGCACTGACGGCGCCCAGGAAGCCCCAAACTCCTCCAGAAACGACCCCGCACGTTGCTCCGAGAGCGCCTCCAAACACGGTGAACACGACCCGCACCGGCTTGTTCTCCGGAGCGCCCTCTCGGAGGCGAGTAGCCGTCAGCGTGAAGCTCTCGGAGACTCTCAGGAGACGATCTCTGCGTTGGCTGTAGAGGCAGGAGAACGCCGTTAATCTAGCGATGAGTTCGTCCTTAATGTTCGTCTGAGGGAGGAAAACTCTGTAGGTCGAAGAGCCGCCTTCAAAGTCAAATAGATCGTCCATCTTCAGAGACGATCTTCACAGAAGTCCATCAGAGGATCGACGAGCGGCGAGGTCAATCTCACTCACCAGAAGTGCTCATCAGGGACGGGAAGGTTTTCTCTTTTCTGCCTGTGTTTGAAAAACAGATAAAAGTTTAAAATAATCAACATGAACAGATGGAGAACAAAACATTTATGTAAAAAGGTTTTCCCTTTTTAAATCAGAGTTTTTAAGTAATTTAAAGTCAACAAATGTGAAAGTCTACTGAAGCGTTTTGCATTCACTTGAGGAAAAGTGAGTTTTTTTCCCCCTCCATTTTTCTGAATTACCAAAATAAAACCCGACAGGAGCTCTCATTTAGGCCACTTAAGGAAGCAAACCTTACCCGACTGGTTTGTCTCTTCTAGTTTTATTTCATAATCCTTATGTTCTTATTAATACAGAAACAACTGCTTCTTTTTTCCCAGGAATAATTCTTAAACTGAGCGTTTATTTCTTTAAGATAGAGTCAGTTTGTTTTTCCTTCAAAATAAAATACAGATGAAGCTGCTCCATTGTCCCTTCTGGGCCTCCGTACATGTGTGGTGGTGACTGTGTCTGCAGAGACTCTGTCCTCTGACTGGATTTTACTGTTCTGCTTTGGTCTGGTTGACTCGGGACATTTCTGGGCGGAGCTGGTGTGTTTCCTCCAGCCAATGACAGCGCAGAAGGTGATTTTAGGAGTGGATACAGTTCAGTGATTGGACGAGATTCAAACCGGTGAATATGATGGACGTGCACGTAGCAGCAAAGAATAGAAAATATAATGAGAGTGAGGAGAAACACCAAGCGCATAAAGCTTGTTCTAAAACGAGGGTGAACCTTGTGTTGTCTTTTACCCGTGGACGTGGAGTTGGTCTACTTCCTGTTGGACAGGAAGGTGACAAACACAGGCGGTTAGCTTGTGCTAGCGTGCATTATCTTGCAGTGTAGGAACAAGCAGTAAACGTACACACTACATCCTGCAGGGGGCGGAGCTTCTGGGGGTTGTTAAAATAAATAACATCTATTGTCTTACTAAAAATCAATTAAACTATTTATTCAAGTCTAAAACCTTTTTCCCAACATTTAAAAAGTGCTGTTAAAGTTCATGATCGTGGCACTTTTGACCCTCCATACAAGCTGTGTCAGGAGGTTGTGTTAAACGGACATGACTCTTTTATTACATGCTCTAAAGTTATTCCAGTTTGGGAAGTTTTATGATCTCAACTTACTACTGCCGCAATCGTCTTAATCGTTTTCACAAACCCAAAGATGACTTTAGAAGCTCTGAGAGAAACATGCAGGACTTTAATCCTGTTGAATATCAGTGAGTGAAGCTGCAGCTCTGACTTGTTTCAGTAGATTCAGACGAGTGTTTTATCTTTTTGTACTTACAGTCAGTCGACTATTCCACCAGCTTCTGTTTCTTCAGAGACGACCTGCTCTCCTTTTTCTCTCCAAAAATAAAGTTCTCACTCAGACGCAGGCTGAGTAAACGGTCTGCTCGGTCTGATTTGCTCAGAGGACAAAGATCAGGAAGTGAAGCCTTGAGAGCATGAGGGCGGGGCCTCTGCTGTTAATCACTTCCAGGTACCTCGAGGGGACAACAGGAGACACCAGACGAGTGCAAAAGGGCTCGATTTATTATGACAACAAAGAAAAGATCAGACATGTCCAAACTGTAATCTGCAGACTGGGAGGTGATGTTTGTGCTCTGGAGGGTCAAACTGTAATAAAAGTAAAAACACACCTTCACTGATTAGAACCCTGTGAAGGTATTACTGCTGGAATCTGCTTGTGCACGTGTCCGTCCAAACCTGAGCGTTAAAATGATTTTAAACATGCTGATAGCATGACATGGCCTGAAGGTCGATATTAAGAATGTAAAAAGAAACAGAGACATAAATAAATACATATTCTCCAAATTGAAGCTTCGAGTCCATGACATCTTAACAATAAGGTGTCTCGTATCCCATTACTCCTATTCCTATTCTTAATTACCTTTGGCAGTAAGAGCTTAAAAACTTTTTTGGTCTTTTATGTACGGCCTATTTGAGCTGGAAAAATCTGGAAAGTTTACAACCAGCTCCAGGAGAAAGAGTAACAACCAGCTACCTGAAGATATTACTGTCAGATCCATAACATTAACTCTTGTTCCAGGATCCAACAAGAACGCATCACTAGATCACTCTCGCAACCATCAATCCCAGTTATTAATGTTGTTATTGTTTTATTTTATTTTTATTTTTATTTTTATTTTTTATTTTTATTTGTATTTTTATTTTTATTTTTATTTTTATTTTTTAATTATTTATTTTTAATTTAATTTATTTATTTTTGCATTTTTTAAGGAGAGCTTGGAACACAAACATTTCATTGCCAGCTATGACTGCTTTGCCTGTTATGTTGTGCATTTGACTAATAAAGATAACTTGAACTTGAACTTGAACTTGAACTACCCGCTTACAAAAACAGTTGAGGTCAGAGGTCGTCTGGAATCAGGTCCCACATTATATCAGGCATTTCAAGCAGGCGTATAAACATCTCCTGATGAACGGACAAACTTGCAACCACTGATTTAACTAATTTATGTTAATTTCATGTTCAAACTACTCGGACCAAGATTGTTTTTTGTTTATGTGAATTAAAATCTTACTTCATGATACGGACTTATCGTGTCATGGAGGTGAAGTCATTTCCTTTTCCAGCACTCTGAGTGACAGGATGCTGCTGCTAGCTGTCTGCTCGGCTAATCTGAGGAGGCGGTAAGTCATTATAATTAACTTTCATAGTGTTTGATGCACATGACATACAGGATACTTGAAACACAGGTAACAGGAGGTGACTTATCGGGCTTTCACACTTCAATCAAACATTATTTATAAAGCACCTTTCAGACAAATTAAATTGGCAGTTCAAAGTGCTTTACAAGAGTGCAGAAAAGTTACTGATGAAAGTAGTTTATAGTTTATAAAATCATTGAGACTAATGCACACCAATAAGAATTAAAACAATTTTTTATATAAAAATGAAAAAATAAAATACGACACATAAAAGCAATAAGATATTAAAATTAATACATAGGAGAAGAATATTTAAAATTGTAGTAGGATAAAAAAAGACAATACAATAATGTTAAGATTTGAATTTATATAAAAGCCAGACTGAGTTTTAAGACTGCGTTTAAAAATCTCTAGATATTCTGGGCTCCTCTCAGACCCTCAGGAAGGTCGTTCCACAGTCTGGGAGCGTAACAGCTGAAAGCAGCATCGCCAAAGGTTTTCTGTCCTGCTCTGTGGAACAACTAAAAGACAGGAACTTGCAGAAAACTCTGGAAAAACTGTTTCCGGGAGGAGTTGTATATTTTCAGAGTGGACAAGTAAAGAAGTAAAAGAAGGCCGTAAAGAGACTCACACTCACAAACGTCAGGTATAATAAGAGGGTCACCTTTATTGTCACAAAAACACAACAGGAACGTACAAAAGCAGCAACCTTTTTATTCTTTTTTGTTTTTTTAAAGTCTGGTTGATTTTTCTCACACGAAGCTGCAACTTTGACTCTCCATAACACAAAGTTTGCGTCGTGTTGTTTTGCACGGTTTGAGTTGGTCTTGAGTTATACGTACGGACTCTGTAGTAGATTATCATTCTTGGTCACGATTCACAAACAACACGTACCCCACACAGCAGGCAGCACTCTCACACGGAGGGGGGCGGGGCTTCAGGATTCTTCTCACAGTTAAGAGTTATATCGCCTTTTTTTCTTCTGACCCCCCCTTCTCATTTTTCACATAATACAAAATCTATGTTACTGTACAATCTGTTAATCTATCATACACTCACAGGTATACACAGAATTATCCACAAAGAAAGGAGACCTCTGTAGACCCAGCGTGCAGATCTCCAGGAATGTTTACAGTATGCATGCCAAGTCGGGATTCTTTTTTTTTAATCACCCCGTTTCAAAAAGAAAAAAAAAATCTCCACATAATTCTGTTATAGATTATTTGTGTTTATATACATTTTCTGAACATCCACAAATGGTTTTGGAACAATCAACACATTCATCAATAAACCATCAATAAAGTGTAGAGCGCGCCGCGTACTGGACGGACACGAGAAGGTTATAGTAGAGAGGAACGGCTACAAAACGAGGCGTCTACCGTCGTGAGGCGATCGTCTCAGAGGAAGGAGGACGTGTGCTTTTCTTTTTCTTTTTTGTTTTTACAAATGAGGCGGTGACTTTCTGTGACCCCTCCCCCCCTCTCGCTTCCACCCGACCGCCCGCTGTGATCGATGTTAGCAGAACAAAAATACAAAAATCTTCAACGCAGAAAAATAATAATAATTTACATTTAGTCGATGTGTCACATGCGTATGAGTCGTCGTCTTCTTCAAGTATAAAAATACAAAACAAGCTTGATTATTATAAAACATAGATGACTTTGTCTTTTTTACATGTTAATAAAGCTCTCAAACTAAAAACTAAATGATCCTTTAATATACATACAATATATCTGTGATGTGATTCAGGTTACACTGTGACTGCGCTCGTCTATGTGCGTGCTAGCTTGTAATGCTAATTCTGATACTACTAATACATTCCTGTAATGTATTCACGATTAAAGAGAAACGTCCAGCTCTTGTGTGCACACTTCTTACACTTTCACGTCTTCTCAGTCTCTCGCTCTCTTTTACTCTCAGCAGCTGTGTCGCCTCCACGCTTTGATTTACAACCACACCGCTCTCAAACACGTGTTTGTTCAGGAGGCTTTTATAAAAGAATACTGTCTGTGTTTCTCTTTCATACATAATACTCATCTTTTACTTTTCTTTTAAGACGAGTGCTTGGATGATATCGTTTTTTTATTCCTTCAGCAGAATATAATATATATTTAATTCAAAGTAAACATCCTGATGGACTCACATCAAGAGAATGTGACCAAAACTGATTCCAACGATTTATCACTTTATGGTCTTATTTGTTTAAAATGTTGAAGAAGAATGTGCGACTTTTAGATCCAGTAGATGTCGCCCTTGAGCTCCAGCATGAATGAAACCAAAACAAGCTGCAGTTTGGCCACGCCTCCTCCATCCTGAAGCCCCCGCTCTCCTCCAGAGACACACCTCCAACCCCCTCTCCTCCACAGGGAGGAGTTTAGCTCAATATTGTCCTTTGCTCGAGAAGCAATCACCACCTGTGTCCTGCATTGTTGTGTTAGCATGCTCATTTTAGCGCTCTTTAGTTAGCTCATAGCTTAGCATTTCATGGGAATGAGCGTGATCTAAAAACTCTTACTAACATCCAAATAATCAGTGAGTATGTTCTTCTTCTTCTCTCTAGTTCTTGACTAAAACAGCTTTTATACACAAGGGGAGGAGCCGGCCGTCCCGTCCATGTAAACACACGTTTACACAGGATAGACTTGATTTATGATTTATTTATGTGGAACATGTCGCACATTCTTCCTTTAACCTTCACATTTAAACATAAAGATCTGTTGTTTTCATTAAAGTGATCGATGCTGTTCTTCTTTCATCTGACATATGTTACTATTTTAGCGCCATACTGAGCTGCTTCTTGTAAATTCACCAAATGTATCCTCAAGATTTCCACCTTTGTTTCATTTCTTCTTAACTCATACCGCGTCTCTGATAGATTTAGATTTTCTTCCATATGAATATAAACATTTATCTCATATATGTAGAGCTGTTGATTTATATGAAAAGTTTCACTTTTATTTCAGAGTAAATCTTTTTTTTTTGTGCAGGTGAACTTGTGACTTTTATCTCAGATAATAAAAATGTTTATTCTTATTCATTTACATCTTTCATCTTTGGGAGTATCCACTGTCTTTCCTTTAAAATGTGTGACTTTCATCTCAAAGAATTTCAAACGTTTTTGGTTACTTTACGACTTCTGTCTCAGAGATTATCAGGAAGGATTTTCTCAACTTTCTCGCTCAGGTTTTTAATTGTAATTTTTTCAACTTTGACCTTTTAAATATGTAGTTTTTCGCAGATTTTAACCCCCCCCACCCAGCTCCACCATTTCTGGATCTGTAATTTTGATCTAAATGTTTCCTAAAAGGGCTCAACATGCAGGAACTTTGCTGTTACAGCTGTTGCAAAACAAGTTTGCACTCTAAGTTCTGTACTATTTAGTATTTTTCACCCTTCATTGAAGATCTGTGAACCCAAGTCAACTTGAGCATCGTGGTCCTGGGCTCACAGATCCTGGGCTCACAGATCTTGGGCTCACAGATCCTGGGCTCACAGATCTTGGGCTCACAGATCCTGGGCTCACAGATCCTGGGCTCACAGATCTTGGGCTCACAGATCTTGGGCTCACAGATCCTGGGCTCACAGATCCTGGGCTCACAGATCCTGGGCTCACAGATCTTGGGCTCACAGATCTTGGGCTCACAGATCCTGGGCTCACAGATCTTGGGCTCACAGATCTTAAGTTAGATTGTTAGATTTGGTGGATGATTATTAGTAAGCGAAGATGTCAGAGGTGTAATCCCTCTTCTGATTCAAACTTCAGGTCAAGAGGTGTTCATGTGAAACAGAACTAGAGAGGAACATTTAACCTCATTATTGTTTTGATGACAGCCGGTCTGACTCCCTGGGGAGATCTTTTGATGACCTTAACTTACAGTAAAAGAGATCGATTAAAGTCTCACGCCTTCACGATGATCAGATTGACCCGAGCTCTCGCTCCTCGTGTTTTTAGTCCGGCTGAGACCTGAGAAGCAGACAGAGGATGAAGAGAGGGAGGAAGAGGAGCGGAGGACCGGCTCACAGACTGATGTGATGTGAGGGGGAACATCAGAGAGACTGATGGTGATTGGCCGGGAGGATGAGCAGCGTTTCTGCTGGAGCACAAGAAGCAGCCGTCAGTGACAAAGAAAAAGAAGAAAAAAAAATCTCAGCACTGCCCCCCCCCATCCCAAAAAAAAAGCAAAGCGGAGAGGGAAGATCAAAAGGAGCAAAACAAGAGTCAAAAACAAGAAGCAGTGAGAGGGAAGGGAAAAGAAAAAAAGACACAAATCAAAATTTATAAACAGACATACCGCTTTGTATTTCAAGTCATCTAACATCTGAGTTTCTAGAATTAGGCCCCGCCCCCCTGCTCTAACAACACTCTGTGTTTTCATCTCTGATTGGTCGACAGGGACGTCAGGTTTTGGTGCATCGAGTGACGGTCCTCGTGCTTGTGCGGAGAGAGAAAGAAAGAGAGTAAAGCATGAGGCAGAAATAAGGCTGAGATCATCGAGCTGCTGTTAGAGAACAGAGACGAAAAATCTGTCCTGATTCAGCTCTCTTCTTCTTCTCCTCCTCCTCTGTGTGACGCAGCGAGGAGGAGAGGAGGAAGGGAGGAAGGGAGGGAGTACATAAGAGAAGATAGGAAGGATAATGTAAGGTGGGGAGGAGAGGAGAGGAGAGGAGAGGAGAGGAGAGGAGGAAAGGAACCGAACCTGGAGGAGATCAGAGGCAAGGAGAGAAAACTAGGACATGAGATAATGAAAGTAGAGCAGAGGAAGGAAGAATGAGATGACCAACAGTAAAGTATACGGTGGAAGGAGGTAAGGAGAGGAGAGATGAACAGAGAAGCAGCCAAGGACAGGAGATAAGGAAAGTAAGAGAGGGAAAGAGGAAGACTCAAGCTTCGGAAAAATACCAGGATAAAAGATAAAAGGAGGTAAAATGAGGAGAGGAGACAAGCATGCAAGAGGGTAGGAGAGGAAACAAGGTGAGGGGAGAAGAAATAAGAAGATGCAGAGCAAAGAGATAAGGATAGGAGACAAGGACAGGAGATAAGGAAAGTAAAAGACAAGAAGAGAGGAGAGGAAACGAGGCGAGAGAAGCAGATATGGGGGGGGGGGGGGGGGGGGTAACTGGGAGGTTTGTTTACATCCTGTCTGTTTGAAGCTTCAGTTTGTTGAGATGTCTGGCTTCTCAAAATCTCCATTTGTCATTATAATCATTCAGAACCGACAGACTGACAGCGGGAACAACAGAACCACATCCTGAATGAGGCTGAATGAGTAAAGGAGGTAAGGACGTCAGAGATATTAACGCCCCCGTCTGAGTGACAGTATGAAATAAAATCACTGTTTGGCCAACACAGCTCGAGCACACAGATGGATTCTTTGCAGCCTGGTGAGGATTAAACCCCGACTGTAACGCCTTTACAAACCACCAGCCTCACAAATCATGTCGTCTCCATGCTCAGATTGTTTGTTCCTGCGTTGAAAAAGAACTGAACAAGGAGGACGCACCCGAGCTTGACGACAGAGTCATTTCAACAACAACAACAAAAAAAGAAAAAAAAGAAAACAGATTGTGGTGACAAGGTGCTGCGCGCTGCCTCGGGGGGGACACTCGTACATCTGTGGCTCTTTCAGCCAATGAAAGCAGCCGCAGACAGGTGCAGCTCCCGGCCTCCCGCCTCTTTTTATCTTTTAACAGAGCAGCAACTTCACCCTCAAAACCAAATTCTGTGTCGGAAAGAAGTTTTAGAGTACTGGGTCACAATTTCTTTTTGCAGTGAACACAAAAAATAAAACTATAAACGGACTGAAATGGCAGCAACTTTGAGTTTTCTTTAGTGTGTTTCTTTTTTACTTCATCATGAGTCTTCATATGAAATATTAAATGTCCAATCAGTAAATAATAAAGGTATCTTACTATATGATCATTAAGGAAACATGTTATGTTGAAGTGCTGGCTTCTCTGACAACAATGCAGCAGCCAGTATGTCCTCCTTCTAACTTTAGATTCTGCTCCTGAATGCTCTGGATTTGTTTGGACCAGAGAAGGTAGGCGCTTTTAAGGCGACCCCAACACGGCCGTTTTGGACGCCCCTCGGTTTGTCAGATATGAGAGCAGTTATCAGGTCAACAGGTGTTGCAGCGATGGAAGCGGTCAAGAGAAGTGGTTCAGATAGAAGTGATTGTACCCGACCTAAAAAGCCTCTGCATGTTTCTAATAAGCTCCACGAGCAGAAACGTGCTCAAACTAGGATCAATATTGGAGATGCTTTTGAAAAATGGAGAGAGGTTAGAACACAGAAAGGTTTACAGACCCATGCAGAGCTGGATAAACACTGAAGCTTCAGAGTCCACCACATGGTGACCTGAGTGAGCATCCACTCTACGGAGGAGGGGGGGGGGGACAGCTCTCTATGATGTTTAGAATCTGGACTGCAGTACCCATTTTAACTACTAGGGGTCATAGTTACATATTGTGGAAGTTGTCTTTCTATTCTAAATTTACACCAAGTTATATCATGTTATCTCAAACTCACTCCTGACTGTGTCAACATGGAAATAACACCAAATAAAATAAATTGGCTGCTTCCTCTCAGGGTCTTTGGACTATAAATGTTTACACAGCTATAAAAAAAAGGGAATATAGTTGGTATTCAGGAAGACATACAACATAACCAGCTCTGAATACTAATCCTGGAGGTCTCTCTGTGGAGCGAGGCGACACGCTCGTCCAGATGGTACAGACATGTCACCTGGAGGTCAGCCATGTTAGCCATGTGCTAACTGCTGTTACGGCTAATGGAAACTACTGCCGCTGCTTCTCATAACCTGGATTTAAAGTCTATAAAATAGGTCTGAGCTCCTGTGGGCAGGCAGCTCTTAAAGGAGGGTTAGATGAAATATTGTATAAATGAGACACTGAATGTTTAATGGCTGAATTCATGAATTAATCAAGTTTCCTGAAATTCCCCAAACGCAGAAAAAGAGACGATGAGTCTGGGTGAAAATGTGGTTTGGTGTGAGCGGTTAAAGGTGTGCTATCATTCCTCCTTTTTGGGGGCATTTTCTGGAATCTCTTTTTCTAGGAGCTGTGGTCGAGGATTGACGGCGACCTTACTCAGCAGGTCGGGGCGGTTTGAAGAGTGTGCAGGAGCAGATAAGACGAGTGGAGCTTCAGGTTTAAGAAGACCAGCTTCACAGTTCACATGTGGAGGAGCGAGTTCATCCTCTCAGAAACAGACTCAGTGACAGCCTCTCTCCGGCCTCTCTGGAGCCTGAAGCGTGTAGAGTTTACATTTTTAAAATATTGTTTTTCTTTCTCCTGTTTCCTCAACATGGCCACATGATGACATATTTCTTTCCTTCAGTGACATTTTCTTTTCCCTTTCGCCCGTAGCTTCTTAAAGTTACATAACACTGAGAGGAAAAAGCTGTTGACAGGTTTCCTCTGAACTTTATTTAACGCATGCTGAAATATCTGATTTGAAGCGGAGAGCAGCTGAGGGAGGAATGGGGCACGACTGGTCGTCTCCAGGACGGACAGACACTGACACAATGTTGAACTTTTCTTTACTTCCGTGTCGCTGTCGGGCGACTTTCTGCACCCGTGACTCGAGGTGTCAGTGACACGAATGAACGAAGCATCCAGTCACAGCTGCTGTGTTTGAGGCTTTTTGCTTAGACATGAAACACTTCATGTTAAATCTATGATATACCAAACATCTTATTATTACCCTCAGCCAGGAGGTTTTGTTTTCAGTGTACCTGAAACATTACCTGCAGAACGCATTAAATGTAATATTCATCTAGTGAAATAATCTCCAAAGGTCCTATAACACTTAGTGTTAGTAGTGAATACCTTAGAAACAACCTGTTTTTTAAAGCTGTTATGAATGTGCATGTGTGGTTGAATGCATGAAGGTCTGTAGTGAATGTTATTCTGATTTCAGAGATGCATGACAAATGAGTGGTTAGGGCTTTAAATCTGACCTGTGGCTCATTTGCAGCTCTCTCTCCCTGATTCCTGACTCGATCCACTGTCCTATCTCTAAGATCATTTTCACATTAGGGTTGATTGTTTTGCACTGGGCCCCCTCCCCTGTCCCCCGCTGGTCTGCGTTCACATCATCGTTCTGTACCCGAGTACTCTTGTGTATGTACACACTGCGATACAGCAGGGGGCAGTATGCACATAGTTGGTTTGCAAATCCGCCAAAAGGCAGAAAGAAGAAGAAGCAACCACTCGCAGACTGAGTCCATCCTGCTAACTGTGGATGTTTTTGTTATTTCTAAGACTTCCACATCTACTGAGCACTTTAGAGGACTAAATGGGACCACGCTGCTGGTTTTTGAAGTGACTGGAGCGGATTAGAATGACGTCATAAAGCGGTCCACTTCCTTGTTTGAGCACGGTTGCGTTCACATCTCCCGCCGACTCTACTCGAGTACACATGAATCACACCTCTTCAAGCGGGGTATACGGTATATTTGTGTTCACACTGATCAAATGAGCCGGACTCTGGGGTCAAGTGTACGGAAAATCTGGACCCGGGTCGCTAATGTGAAGCCACTCTAATTCTCTTCTTGAGCACCTTCTCTGATGCAGAAGCTGCAAATGATTCCAGTTATTGCAAAAAGAAAAAAATGGGGAAACAGTACTAGGGTAACACTTCTCTGTCAGCAGCTGTTAAGTTGCTCGTTTGATTTATTATCCTTGTGGTTTAGTTTTGATTCCACACAAGGTTTTTGTTCAGTCTTCCTCCTCCCTCCCCTTCTTTCCTCTCTTATACTTTTCATAAACATCTTTATTGCACTCGTTAAACTGAAGTGCTCGTCTACAAAAAAAAACCTTTCCCAGCCGACCTAACACCTTGTGCTTCTTCTCTCTTGTCATCTTGCATAATCATTAGTAGCATTCAAGCTGTTAAAAGGCAATTCTGCGTTAGCTAGCTTAATGGATCGGGGCCTCTTGGCTGGAATGTGGACCTCTCAGCTGCTCGATGCCAGCCACACAGACGAACACATTACAACACTTTTTCTTCTGCTAGCCTTGAGATTTTTTAAAGGACAGGTGATAGAAAGAGCAGCAGTGTGAATCGTTTCTGGATAAAAAAAAAAAGGGGGGGGGCAAGGGATGAGGGTTCAGCGAGAGAAAAAGAAAAAGGCTGGATCATGGTGAGATTTCATTAAGTTGACGTTGAGATATGAGATAAGTCCGTGGCTCTGCTGAAATCATGTCGCACGATGAAAGAGAAGTTGGCTATTAGAGTAAAGCTAGCTTGATCAGATCACGAGCACCACCTTCATCAGGAAATCAAAACATCAACATACTCGTACGACAAAAATCTCTACGCAGGCTAGTTTAGATCCAGTAACTCAAATGTCAAAACACACATCAAGAACTGGTAAAAATCACGGCGTCTGGAGATAGTCCCCCCCCTCCCCCTCCCCTCTCTCTCTGGTTTCTGAGTTATCTCATTGTCTGCTGGTTTTCGGCCTACACAGTTTTTTTTCTGATCTCGCAGAAGTTGCAGGAAAGCGTCGTCTGAGGTGACGGCAGAGAGGCAGACGCAGCGTCAGAGGTGGAGCTTTTTTAGAAGTGGAATACCTGCTGCTGGCCCTGGACTTTGGGGAAATCCTCTTTCTGCTTGCGGGTTTTTGGCCTCTCCAGGCTTCCTTGCTGAAGGTGTTTGAGTCTCGCTGCGACCGTGGGACCTTTCATCGGCCCCGGAGAGTTGCTGCTGTTCTGTGGGAGCAAAGAGAAATCAGAAGTGAGGATCTGATGATTAGACGTAGGAGGTTTTAAAGGGATGGATTCAAAGAGCTGCCATTTTCACTTCCTCATACTTACAAAATGATCACATACTGTATTCATTTTATATTTGAACCGGCATGGCTTGTTTCGCTCTGTGCTTCCCTAACAGTTGATCAAGCAGCAGAACTTCAGACAATCTCTTTCCTGTTACACTTAACACAAACATGGCGATGACAGTTTCTAAGCTGCTGCTGCAGAGGACCGTGCCTTGTTTTTTTTTTAAAAATGGAGTAATTTTTTCGACCCTTTTGCCATTTTTGGATAGGACGGCTGAGGTGGGACAGGAAATGCCTGGAGGAGAGAGAGAGGGCAGGACATGCAGCAAATGGCCAAGGCGGGAATCGAACCCACAGCTGCTGCGACGAGGACAACAGCCTCTCTCAGGGAGCGACACAACCGCTGGGAAATATTAAACACATCTAGTTCAAAACACTGGGTGTTTATCAGCTGCTTTTGTCATATCAAGTTAGAGAATTTTGCCCCTGTAAGGTTATCTGCTGTGACCTACAACGTGTCCAGTTTCAGTCCTTAACCTTTTCCTGGATTTGTAAACAGCACAGTCTGAGAGAATGAAAATACCTCACGGAGGGAAATATTGTTTTCGAGATTGACACAAGAAGGAGACTTGTTTTTTGTTCTACTGACATTAATCACTGTTTGCAGATCTTTAAAACAGAGCTCGATGCAACAAAAGCCTTCAGAGAATTAAAACCAGTTCAGAATTTAAAACACCTGCAGGTGAGAAAATAGATTCTTTGAGAAAAAAAAATCTGTCTGCAGCTCTGAACCTGAAATCCTCTCCCTCCCTCCTTCCCTCCCTCCCTCCCTCCCTCTTCTCTTTTTCCCTTATTTTGACAGCTACCTGCTCAGCTCGGTTCAGAGATAATTCCAACGCAAACAAGAGCTCTTTACTCAGCTAAAAATGTCACCTGAGCCGTCGAGTGTTCACAGACTGGAAGTAAAAAAACTAAATACATCATCTGCTTCACTCCATGACTCACACAGCGCACATCACACCGGCAATTACGAGGCTGAACATTCACACGGCTACAGCATGAGTGAGAGAAGAAGAAAACAAAAACTCTTACAAGTGGAGATAAAATCAGGTGTTCATTCAGAGGAAGCTGAAGGTCACGAGCTGGTTAACGAGGTTAGGAAGAGAAAGGCAGTGAAACCACATCAGAGGCAGCGTGCAAGATTTACTCTTCCACTAGTAACACTGTTCTTACCATCTTTTAAAGGTCGGTGCATAAAAATTTGGCACTCATGTGTGACTGTGCATGCTCGTGTGCTTGCTTTCGTTGCATAATCTGGCTTTGCATTGATGTAAAGATTGTCAATGACTTTGCAATAAATCTAATATGCAAATAATATCTCCTATATTCATATCAACTAACATGTGTCTCTAGTCTGTCTTCAAACCCCCAATCATGAGAAAAGTCCATCCTCTCTGTCTTTTGCCTGCTCCACAGAAAATGTGTGCTCAAATAGGCCGTTTGGAGATTTTCCCTTCATGACATCACAAAGGGCAGTAGCTCCTCCCCCAGGTGGGTGACACTCCCACAGCTAGGTGTTTGTTCTGCCCTCTGAGTCTGCCTTCTCACTGTAAACAATAGGACATGGAGCGAGAAAGACCGAGCGCACCCAAGCCCTTCCAGAGAGGGGGTGTGGTCAGACACAGCTCATTTACATATTTAAAGGTACAGACACAGAAACAGCCTGTTCTAAACAGGGCTGAAATAGAGGAGTTTATAGACATGATCAAATACAGGATCAGAGTGGATTTAGAACAAGAAACTTCACAAACATGTTTTGAGGAGCTCTGAGACTTAATTATACTTTTAGAAAAGGAGGAGAATATGTCACATTTAAACTGGAAAGGTCACACTATAATCATGTAAATAAGGGAAATAATATCATCTGTTTCTCTGCAGAGCTTGTGACTGTCAGGAGTTTTTTCTCAAGTCAGCAGAAACCACTGACAGGTGTTGGGGGTCGAGTGTGGGCAGATTGCCCACCGTGGTATGGTGTAATTTCTGCTGATGAACAAATAATTTCAATAAAAGAGATGTAACCACAATCCTCCAGGCTTTGCTGAGTCTGCAAACATAAGGTCAGAGTGAATTTAACCTTCAAATCTAATCTCTTTATCCCATCATCTAAGTGAATGTTTGCATCAAATTTGTTATTTCCTCTTTTTCCAGGACAGATTTTTGATCTTATGACACAAAAGTTGATCACTTTTATGGTCTCATATATTCATATTGGACTCAAACTTGGCCAGTGGACTTGTCTGAAGAGGGTTTTAACACTGTGAGGATGTATTTTAGATCAAGGCCAGCTGCTTTTTGGATGAAATCTGAAATTACCACGACCTGAATGAGTAAGAACTTCCACAGACGTTTGAATAATATATTCCCAGACAGACGACAGAGACCTTCAAAAATAGCTGCCAGATGCTCCTGATGGCCACATGGAAGAATTATCCTGATATCAGAGTATTAGGACACAGTCACATGTAACTTCAAAGTAAATTGAAGTACATATAAGTTGTGAATAAGCCGACCAGTGGGAGAGAGTTTGAATATTAGTGGTTATAAAAGTAAGTAAAGCAGAGAATAAAAAATGCTGTAGGTCATTAGAAGAAGATGCAGAGTCCAGAGACGTGCCAGAGAAGGTGGGCTGTTGTTTTAATTTACCTTTCTGCCCAAGGACCCAAAGGTGCAGTGAGGGGCGGGTGTGGTCTTTGGTAGGGTGCTGAACGGTTTAATATCTTTTACAGGCGCTCTCTGAAATATCTTTGATCAGAGGATGTTCATGAGAGAGTTTGGTTATTAACTCTATTAACAAAAAAAACCTGAAAAACATCTGTATAATAAATAAATCAAGGAGTCTTACTTCCAGCTCGGCTATGATCCTCTCCTCGTCGTCATCGTCCTGAATGCCGGATGCTGCGATCACAGGCGGGGTGGAGGCGGGTCGCGGGGTGTCCGAGGGGGTCCGCCTCAGCTTCACCAGGGTCTTAGGTAGGTCACCGTCTTCTTCCATCTTAAAGGAGACATGAAGACATTTACTGTCCTCTTAATTCCTGTCTGCCTCTTCACTGTCAGCGTTCAAATGAAAATCACAAACAGAAGAAGAGCAAACTGTCACAGCACGGCGCACGTCTCTCTGATATCAGCAGGGTCCGTCTGGCTCTACTGCACCTCAAAATAACAACCGGTCCTTTCATCAGACTGACACATCGATGTGATGCTGTTCCTTATGAACTCAATAACCTCTCACGTAGAAGACGTCCATGTTTCTTACCAGTCCTTCACAACTGTTAAACTGTTATTTACCGATCGTTGAGACAAATTTAAAACATTTGAAGACGCCTTCTGAAGATTTAGGAAACAGTTAAAAGGATAAATGACTCCTTTCAGTATTTCTTTAGGACACATTGATATTTTAGACCTTCTTAAAAAACTAAAGCAATCGATTGTTGGAGCTAAAGTGTCCAGACAGAGTAAACAGGCATGCCTGCTGTTGGTCGCTACAGTGATTTCAGATGCTGAATTGGCTTGTGGCTCTGCTCTCACCGTGTGAGTGTGTGCAGTCCTACGACCAAATTATCAAACAAGCCAGAAAATCATCTGATCAGCTGATCAGGCTTAGATTGTGCGAACTGCCTCAGTTTATACTGGACAAGTAACCACGCACAATGAGGTGAAACTTCTGCAAAGATCGTGTCTAAATCGCCATGATATCGTACAGTTTACAGCCAGCTTTAAATATGGACAGATAAATGAATCGTTCATATTTGAAATTGATTTGCTCAACTTGAATAAATGAAGTAAACATCTGAATGATTTGAATTAGTATTGATTGATTGACATTTTCATGTCCTGAACAAACCATCAATATGTTTAAGGTTTTTGGGTTAACCCGACGACAGCTGTGAGCTCGTCACTATAAATAACTCAGAGAGAGAGAAGTTGGTAAAGTAAGGAAAAAGTTTTCCAGCCATCAGATTCAGAACAGCTGTTGTTGAAACTGGGAGCAGCTCTGCCTCCTTCACTCAGAGACTCTCGCTGTCATGTTAATTGAAACAGCTGTTTGTTTGTTGAGTGGCTCTGCGGTTCATTCACTCAAGAGGACAAAAAAAAAAAAAACAGTCTGAGTTTTAATGACCAGGCAGGAGAGCGTCTGTCTGTCCAGGAGAAAACACAAAACTTCCTCCAACTGAACGAGAGCAAAACTTGTTGTTCTTTTAAGTCCCACTGAGGCCATCAAACAGATCTCAGACTGCTAAGGTCTCCGTACCAGCCTCCTTCAGCTGCAACCACTGAACCCCCCCCAACCCATCGATAAAAAAGGACACAAGCCCTGAACACAGCTGTCCGCAGTGCTGTACATAAAAGAAACAAAACAAGAAGAGAGAGAACAAAAAGAAAAACCTGAGAGCAACCGCCTATTCAGGAGCAGAGGACTCAAATGCCAACATGTTAAAGAACATTTTGAGGCTGTGTTGAGTCACCAGAGGGGGCAGACCTGATGGGGGGGGGCATGACTGCAAAAGCACGATGACCTTTAAGCTTGAGACATGAGCGAGGGACTGCCAGGAGGCCGTGTCAGTTGATCTAAAGGGTCTAAAGGAAGCACAAGCGAAGGCATCTAGAGCTTTAAATACGAACCATGTAAACTTAAAGTCAGTCCTGAAGTGTAAAAAGTACTTTTGAATTTTAGCTTTAATGTCCTGGGCTTGTTTATGTATTTTAGATTTTATTCTAATTGTTTTAATTATATTATTTCTTGTGTGTGTTTGTAAAGTTGTCGTTCTCTCCTTCTGTATTTTAACTATCGTTCTCCTGTGCTGTGTGTAAAGCTCTGTGGTCAGCTGTTTTTAAATGTGCTTCATAAATAAGTTTGATTTATTTCCAATTGTTGGGATGAATAAAGGGAAAAAATGGCGAGCTAGGTCCTGATCCAGAGCCTGCCAATCCGCTTAGAGCATCCGTACTTTCATTTTTATTTGATCACTGATTGTTTGCTCTGTAGCTCCTCCAGTTGTTTCAAGTTGTCTTACATCCGTTGATCATCTTTAAGGTATACCGTTTGAGTGTCAATTAGTAACCAGTTAGCGTTTTTAACGACGAAAGAGGCGGTCTCTCTGTCAGAAATTCACTTCAGCCGAGCTCATCGGAGCCTAAAGACATCCAGAGGAAATCTCACCTTGAGGCTCTTGTTAGTAACGATGACATCTCCGGTGCGGTTGGTGGTGAGGCCGTGTGCTGACGGGAAGCTCCTGCGTGGGGGAGGCGGAGGCGGAGACTTGGAGGGTTTTTCTGTACGATACCGGGCGACGTTGAGATCCACTGTAAACCAAGAAGAACACTTAAGGATGTAAACGTGTGAAAGAGTTCAAGTAACAACACAACATTATTTCATGGTGAATAAAATGAATTATAAGTGTTGAAAAAAGAGACAGCTCACCTGACCCTCGATGTGACCCCGCCCCCTCCATACTGTTCAGCTTCTGGGCTGCCAGCTGCACTTTCCCGGGCTGCTGGTCCCCGCTGGGTGTGGTGATGGATGTGGTGGTGGCTGTGGTCCCAGTGGTCCCAGCTGCAGAGGACGTAGCCGTGGTGGAGGTTATCGGGATGGTGATGTGGGGCTTCGGGGGCACCGCCGGCTTGTTGATGTGCCTGGCAGCGAAGTCGAGATCCGGGATGGCCTTCATCAGCTCGGCCTGGGTCTCCTCCAGCAGGCGGTTGATGTCCTGGGCGCTGAACTGGGTCAAACTGGCACGCTTCTCTTCCCAGTCACGCTCTGCAGCCTGGACATGAATACAGACAAAGACAAATGATGAGCGGGGAACATGCTAAGTGCTAACAGGAGGGGCTGGAGAAACATAATTAAACACACTGCTGCTCCTCGTGTGGGCACATGGGCTCAATAAAGATTTAAAAACCTTTTAATGTAATTATAAACCAGGATGGATATTTGCCATCTGGCTCATCATGGTACAATCACAATAATAATAATAATAATAATAATAATAATAATAATAATAATAATAATAATAAAGGGCGTTTTATGTTGCAGCTGCATGATCTTAAAATAAACAAAAATAAAAACAGCTGATTACCAGTCTGACTTCTGCAGACACAGATTTATCTGAAGGGCGTCGGCTCGGCAGCTCGTCGAGGACCCGGTTCCTGAAGCTCATGGAGGACTGGATGTCCTGCTCGGGTCCCGATGTGTCCACGTCGCCGGCATTGACGGGCATCCAGTTAGCGAGTCCGGCACTGGTGCTCAGGTCTGTGAGGCTCAGAGGAGGACTGTTCAGGATGTCCAAGTCCGCACCGCGAATCATGTCCTCGGACCTCTTCTGCGATTGGCCGGAGAGGTCCTCTGGGCTCTTCCACACTCCCTCTGCGACTTGTCTGTACGTATAGGAGGGATACAAGAGACTACAATACAGAAAGGACACAATCAAGGCCTAGACTGTCTACCAGGGGAAGAAAAACGCGTCGTGTAAGCTGCCCTGGTTTATTATAAACTCGATGTATTATCTGAGCAGATTGAGGAGCGTTTGATTTGTGTACCTGCGCAGCGTGCTGAGTGCATCCGTCATGGTGTTGCAGCGCTTCAGCAGGGCGTCCAGGCGGTGAGGCTCCTCTTTCAGAAACTTCACAGCCTCCACCTCCACCCTCAGCACCACCCGCATCTTACTCTGCAGGCTGGGAAACTGGTCTGCATGGGAGGGAGAGAGAGAGAGAGAGAGCGAGAGAGAGAGAGAGAGAGAGGGGATGAGGAGGGGAGAATGACAGGTAGACAGATGAGGAGAGAAAGCAGCGTGTCAGAGGGATGTGTTTGGATAAGGATGTGAGGAAGAATGGAGGCGTAAAGCGATGGAGGTAAAGGAGGGAGCGAGGGAGGGAGGGAGGGAGGGGGGATTACAGGACGGAGAGACAGGAGGCTGTTTCTGTCGCCCGCTTTTTTTTTTTCAAGGCGCTGGATTTTCCTGTCATATCCAGAAGGAGGCTTCAGTGGAGGTCGGCCAACGGAAAGTGAAGGGCGGGCTGGACGAGCGGCAACGAAAACAAAAAATCTGTGCTCGTCCGTGGGTGTGTGTGAGGACGATTCACAGCCAGGATTTGAAATGTTGGACACTCAGCCGTCCTGAAAACTGTCCAGCTGCCAATCAAAACCCTGAATCCAAGCAGCGCACATTGGAGTCAATCTACATCAAATTATAATGAGGGGCCTCGAGGAGATTTGGAATGACTCATTAATATTCAGGATGCGGAGTGGAGGTACACGGGTCGGAGCTGCAGGACAAGGAGGCTAAACCTGAAACTTCATGAATATCAATTAAAGTCTGAGAGAGTTCATTAATATTCATGACTTTTTGTAACATCAGTTTGACAAACACGCAACACAATTTGACATGAACTGTGACCTCAAAGCAGGACTGGATTATTGCTCTTCAGTAGATTTATGAGAGTAGGAGGTGGCTTAAGGAAGGTGGCCTTGTGGGGAACGTGAGAACGACTTTCCTGTTTGTAAATTAGAAATAGCAGAGGATGAAGTGAAGTGCATGCTTTCTAGCAGCCATTCAAAAAAGCTGTTTTTACAGCAGAAATAAACAGGTTCAAAACATGATATTGGTCTGATTCTTTATTGTCATCATGGGAATCATCATTAGGCGTGTAGCTGACATGATTGACAGGTGGGCGTGGTGTAACGGTTTGTCAGGAGGTTTAAAACCCGCCTCAGCTCCAGCTCTCAGCCTGTCGTTAGGTTGACTGAAAGTTAGACTGAGACAGCATTTCCAGCATGGAGACCGCCATCGATGGGACTCCAGCGCCCCCTGCAGGGACAGACGGGTCACTCAGGCTTGTCCATTTATACTGAATCTATGGTCCCGCACCTACTGTTAACAGTCATGAAAGGTGACATTACATTAACATAATCTCATTTAAAGGATTTATATGCGATTTTCTGATCCAGCAGATGTCGCCCTTGAGCACCAGCATGAAACCAAAACAACTTGCGCTGCATTGTTGTGTTAGCATGCTAATGCTAGTGATCTTTATTATGCTGGTATCTTCACACTGCATGTAAATTTACCTGAAATGAGCGTGATCTAGAAACACAGTTAAGCAGTGAGTACAGTATGTTATTCTTCTTTTCTCTAGTCCCTCAATTAAACAACTTTTATACACGAGGGGAGGAGTCAGCCGGCCGTCCCGGCGATGTAAACAAACTGAAGATAGGACTTGGATTTCTATTACATTTAAGTGTGAAAAATCTCATATAAAGTGTCCAGCAGTGTCTGTATGGTCAGAGAATCTGATCTCTGTCTGTATTTTCATGTTTCTTATAGTGTGTCAATCACTGTGCAGTGAGGAGCTCAAAGACACAGCTCTGTGGGACAGAAAAGTAAACGCAGTGCAGTAAACCACAAACATAACTTGTGCATCTTTGAGAGGCCAAAAGGACTTACTGACACTGTGATATTTACTGATCTGTGTATGAGTTTGCCGTGCAGTGGCTTTGTAACAACATGCTCATGCATAACGAGGCTGCAGCAGTGAGGTGTGAAAGTGAGACCAGCTGCAGCTGAAGGAATCATACTGACAGAGGAGCACACCTGCAGAATTAGAGGTTTGGGGAATTTAAACAGAGAAAAAGCCACAGCACCTCCCAGCATGATCTGCAGACACACACAGGAGGTCATACGCAGACTTACTCTTGAGCTCGGTGAGCGTCTCTCCCAGCATCCTCAGCTCTTTGCTCTTCTGTTCCACATCCTGCTCCGTCACCAGGCCGTGGTTCACCGACGAGTTTCTCTGCAGCTCCTCCACTGACTTCTCCAGGTCACTGAAGAGGATTTAACTCAGATCACTCAGCGCCACGCGTGGTTAATAATGTAAGATCTGTCTAGCTCATGTTACATTTATCAGCTTGGTTGGCATTATAGCTTTAATACATGACTAGTTTTCAGCATGCTGCATGAAAACAAGGACTTGTTTACTATGTCTGACTTTGGAAGTCATTTCCAGGACGGATGTAAACACAAACCGCGTCCTCATCTAGTAAATTACAGAAACCATCGAGACCATGGGTAGCCTCTTTTTATTGAGCTTGCTGCATAAACGGATGTTGTTCTGAACTCACTGCAGCTGCTGGATGAGCAGCTCCTCCTGGTTCAGGTACTTGAGTCTCTCCTCCTCCACTAGGAGGCGCTGTCTCTGAAGCGGGTCCTCTTGCGTGCGCATGGCGTCCAGCATCATGAGGCTCAGCTCCGACTCCGTCTGCCTCAGCAGGGCCAAGACCGAGTCCTGGTTCTCCAGCTGGGACACAGAGAAACCTTTCAGTCCTGTGCGTTTCATGTGTTTTTATCCAATCGTTAAATCATGCATGTCTACAGTTACAGCTGTAAAATTACGGATTTTTCTGGCTTTGATAACTGTTGGAAATGTTTGAGGCCATGTTGCAACTTGGGGTCAAGTGTCTTGCCCAAGGACACATCAGACATGTGGCTGCAGGAGCTGGGGATTGAACCCCCAACCTTCTGGTTGAGAGACTACCAACTCTTCAAACTGAGCCACAGCCAAACAAAGCTTATATCAGAAGTCCCGCCCCTTCTCGATTTGGATTTGTTGTTACACGAGAAGTGACTCAGTTGATCTTTTTTCAACTGAGAGCGCAGAAATCACTTAACTATTTTGGTTTTGCACTGCAAACAGGTGCCGTCTGTGAACACAGGAACTTAATTACACTCGCAGAAATCACATTCAAACATACATGCATCTGAACTGCTTTTTTAGACGCTGCATATGCTACTATGCACAAACACACCTGCATGTTGCGTAGCTGCGACAGTTGCTTGCGCAGTGCGTTGGTGTTCTGCTGCAGGCCTTGTAGGTGGAGCTGCATCTGCAGACGGGACACGGTCACAGGCTGGTTGGCCCCGGAGGGCGGAGGGGGCATCAGGGCCAGAGGAGCGGACGGAGTCAGAGCTGGCAGACATTTTAAAAAAAAGAGGAATTACAAACAGGACATTTTCTCTCCAAGCGTCTCTCATTTATAGCACAGCAGGACTAATAGAAGTTGTCCCAAAACACTTTCAGCAAATCAAAAAGGCTTAATAATAACTGATTGAGGAGAATGAAGTACTTTAAACGGAGCATGAGGGACGCCTCAAGTCTTTAGCTGCCAAATCCCTAAAGGTTTGACTTTTATGACCTCACATATCTAAAGGCTAAAAAACTGTTTTACAGACTGGGCACAGGCGATTTGTTGTTCTTGGATTTGGCGTCAGCATTTCTGGACATCTTCTATGTGTGCTGTAGGTCAGGGGTGGAGATTACAGTCTTAAGTAGACTTAACAATGATGAACAGCATGAGGAGGCTTCAGGGACAAACACAGTAGATAGTGTGAAAAACGAAACTGCATTTTTACTAAAATCCACAAATCTTTTGTAGCAGAGTCCCCACACTGCCCACATGTATGAGTGTTTCCTCAGATAATCCCCCTGGACATGACAATGGATGCCACAGTATGCTCTGAGAGTAATTAGGGTGCTGAGTCACACGTCATGCACGAACGAGACAAAGGAAAAAACAACTGGGACACAATCAATCGATAACAGACTGAAGAGTTGCATTTTGAAGGGCTGTGAAGTCTGGACTCGGGAGACGACACCAGAGCAACAACACACTCTCACACACCTCGGTGTTCACAGCTCTGCAGACAGGGTGACAACCGTCTACTTCACCGCGCTGTGTTTCTAGAAACTCAGACCAGGACGGCTGAGTCCACTGTCTGTTCTTATTCAGAGAGGAATTCTGGTCATTTCAAACCTGGGTCCCTTTTTTTCTTTCTTTATATTTTAGCTGTAAATGAAATCATTTGACTTGGCTTTGATAACTGTTGGAAATATTTGAGGTAATGTAAAACAACTGTAACAGGTTTAGTCCAAACTTGTTCAACCTATTTGTCATTTAAATCCAAAAATATAGATAAAAAAGTCAAATAAAAAAAAAAGACATTTATCCATGACTCATCATGTGTGAGTGTCTGACAGACGGCGGGCAGCAGCGCTGACACATTTCGCACAGACGTCATTACTGATGTGACATTCTGCAGCCTCACCAGATCAGACGAATGAGATTGTGAGCACAAAGACGATCCAATCAGATAAAACTTTGACTTCATTTGACGACAACTGACGGAAGGAAAATGTTGACTTTTGTCATTCCTGCATGCAGACGAGATACGAATCTGACAGATCTTCTAAAGGAGAACGCGAGGAATGTGAAGGTTAAGTGTATGAAAATGATGTGCAGCTTCAAGGAAATTAATATAAAACTACTCCACAGAAAAGTCTTTTTTAAGTACGATTAAGATTTAAAATACACAGCTTATATATCTTCTTAACCCAAGAAACAACAGCTAAATCTAAAAGGTCACATATTCTGCTAAATCCACTTCTCCATGTTCCTCTAACTCTAATATTTGTCTCTAGTCCGTCTACAAACCCCCAATGATGAGAAAAGTCCATCCTCTCCGTCTTCTGCCTGCTCCACTTTTCAGAAAATGTGTGCTCAAACAGGCCGTTTGCAGATTTTCCTTTCATGACATCACAAAGGGCAGTAGCCCCTCCCCCAGGTGGGTGACACGCCCACAGCTAGGTGTTTGTTCTGACCTGAGTCTGCCTTCTCACCGTAAACAATAGGACATGGAGCGAGAAAGACCGAGTACACCCAAGCCCTTCCAGAGAGGGGGCGTGGTCAGAAACAGCTCATTTACATATTTAAAGGTACAGACACAGAAACAGCCTGTTCTGAGCAGGGCTGAAATAGAGGGGTTTATAGACATGATCAAATACAGGATCAGAGTGGATTTAGAACAAGAAACTTCACACACATGTTTTGAGGAGCTCTGATTTGATCATAATTCAGCCTTCAAATACGATAAGTTTAATCAGCAACTGTGTAGCTAAAGAAGTTTTATGTTAAACTTTTAAAAAGATGTTGAATCTTTTCTGCTCCGGAGGAAACTCTGGACAAAAACATCCTGTTTTTGTCACAACTTTGATGCAACTCTGATGATTTCTTACTGAAAAAGACAGAAAACAAGTGGAAAGTGAAGGACACCAGCTGAGAGGGAGACAAGTCCTTCAGGGAGACGCACATACAGTCACACACAAACACACTTTTTGGAAGCTCTTTTGGATCCAAAAATAGTATTTCAAAACACAGGGGGGGTAGATGAGGGGAACAGGTACCACTCACTTCACATAGCTACCTTTCTTTTTTTTAGCGCGTCCAGCTAAAACAAGAAGCATGAGCAGCGGTTACACAGCAGCAGAAGCCGGCATGTACAGCATGAAGAAGCTTGCAGCGTCAGCCATTACGATCACATGAGGCACTTAAAGAATTATGCAGAAAAAAAAGAAGTAGCTGCAGCTCTTTGAGAGGAAGAAGAGCCCATTTCTGTGGCTATCAAACAGGCAACAGAGGTAGCAGCGACAGGCAGTGATAGGAAATATATATATATATGTTTTTTTCTGTAGAGAGCACTTACTGTCAGTTCCTGAGCAGTCACTGGCTGACTCAATCTTCTCCCTGGAAGAGGCAAGCGTTAAAAGACTTACAGCCAGAACACACTATTGACTTAGCAGCTGAGAGGATATTGATGTATTGAGGAGAACGTGGGAAATATATGTGCTGCTGGCAGAGTTTTCAGAATGGACTCTCTGCTGTGTGTGTGTGTGTGTGTGTGTGTGTGTGTGTGTGTGTGTGTGTGTGTGTGTGTGTGTGTGTGTGTGTGTGTGTGTGTGTGTGTGTGTGTGGGGGAGTGTTTTAGTACAATCGCAGTATCTACCACACTTAGGTCTGCTTCATGATAAAAGAGAGAAATGGAAAATTCACTTTCTACATCATGAGACGTTTACAGTAAGACAGCGTAAATAGAATAACTGGGAGTTTGGGACAATGATATACCGTTAAATCTGGTATATGAGACACACTCCGTTTTTTGAAGGTCGGGTTGAAACTTTCTTCCTGCCTGATGATTTCTATCGTGATCAGCGAAGTCCTCAACGTGCAGTCTGTGTGTCGCTCTTTTAGTTCCATTTGTTTTCTCTTTGTGGAGTTTGCTCTCCTACTAGCTACAGTACGGTAGTCGAGCTGCAGTGAAAGTTATGGAGCACAAACCCCTAGCTAGCTTGCCAGCTCTCTGCCTGACTCCGCTGGTCACTCTTTAACTTTAATATAGGACTCTTTCAATCAAAAGAGCACTCCACAATGTTTATTTACGGAACAATATACCCTCGTTTTCTGTAAATGAATGATTATGACCTCATGAGGGAGAAAAAACGTGAAAAAGTTGCTCAGCCAGACTCGTCTGTGTCGTTGTCTTTCCCAGCACAGCGTGCAATAAGCTTTCAATACACAATGAATGGGGGTGAATTTTTTTAATCGCGTCAGGTCGCGTGCATTGATGGTGGCTTCTGCACCCGTGTGTGTCAGTATTTTAAACTGGTATATTGGTTGCACCAGTGTATAAGACTCAGCAAACTTTTAAGATGAAAAAATAGGTATTGAAAGTTCGTCTTATACACCGGGTTTTACAGTAAGATAAAACAGACTGTATAGTACCTTCAGTGGGGAATATGGATGCTTTTGAACACGGCATTCCTGGGAGAGGAACTTGTCTGTATATGGAGGGTGTTTCCACATGCATTATTTGTGTGTGTGTGTGTGTGTGTGTGTGTGTGTGTGTGTGTGTGTGCTCTCTACGGGCTTTCCGCCTCAGGCGCTCTGCTCAGCACTCTCTGCAGCAGCCCCGTCAGGCTCGCTATCTGCTTCTCCATGGCCTCCATACGCTCTCTGGATTCACACACACACACACACACACACACACACACACACACACACACACACACACACACACAGGGCTGTAACAGATGTCTGACACATATTTTGTACATCATTTAAAAAGGCATAGTATCAAACTCTCTGAGAACTCCTCCTTCGGTCTCCCTTTAAGCCTCGTTAAAACGTGGAGTAAGTGCTGCTCTGGTTTAATTCTGTGCTTTGCTTCATGATTGATGGTTTCATTGTAAAACTGTCCATGAATAATAATCACTTCTTTTAATAACAGTTTTTAAAACTATCCATGGCTGGAAAATCAGTCAAAATTATAGTTGTAATTTCTGCTATTCCTCATTGATTTTGATTATAATAGCTCTTGGTCACATTAGCTTTTATGCATTTACGACAGACGTTGTTTAATTTTCAGGGAATTTCAGGGAATTCATTTTTCAGAGAGATCTGTGACATTTGCTCGCAGAGTAATTCGAACCAGAGCTTTTAGTCAACTCACAGCCTCTGGATTGTTTCCGTGTCTCAACAGAGAATACAAAACTGAAAAGCAACACATGAAGACAGCTCGGTTTTACACACTCATATTGTATATAACCCTCTGCATAAAAAACATGTTCTGCATCAAGCTGTGCGGAAGACGCTGATAGTACAAATGGAAATGAATAACCGAGCTATGTTGCTAGCTCACTGCTAGTTAGTTAGCCAATCTCATGCTGGCTATCTGTCACAGGCATGTTATCAACTATAGTAACTAGGGCTGTAATGATGCCTTGAAATACAATTTAAAATCAATACAAAAATGGACAATTTAAATCCATTTGACAACAATTTAAATTGCAATATGCTTTCAAACCAGCAGATGATGCTATCAGCTGTTTGCTTCTCTGGTTTGATGTCAGTAGCTGAGGTAGAGAGGTACAAACAAGGTGGGTGCAAAGTACAAACTTTGAGGTTGAGAATGTGTCTTGTTTTAAAGCGGGAAGACATGAGGTGAGCAGAAAAAGGAAGAGACAAAAACAGGGTAAAAATTGCTGCAAGAGACGAGATGCAGCAGGTAAGATGACGCCACGCTGTTCTCAGACTTGAAATAACAGAATCACATTTATCTCATAAATAGGACAACAGCTCACCAGGCAAAATAGTGGAAATTATGACAGATACTGTATATAAAAAGATGTTGAAGCCTCCAGGTAAAATTATCACCTGAAGAAGAAAACTTTGTGATGAAAAAAAAGTTTTTCAGGCATTTGAGCGAATGTGCAGGCCGATCTTCTTCCTCAGTCAGCTGATTTTGCCCTGCACCTATGGTACCTCCTTTTTCGGTTGCACTTGAAGACACGCTTTAGGGTCTGTTGTTTACTTTCCAGTTAGTTCATTGCATGGAAAGTCTGTTTTTTGTCTCAAGAATTAACATGCAAATGAAACCAAAGTGACCCTGACTTAAGAACGCACTATGATAACAGAAAAATCCTGATAATTTAACACTCACTGTGACCTAAATCCTCTCCAGCAGGACTCTCTTGGCAATATACCTGAGGCTTGAAACCAGTTCTCTACAAAGCAAAGGGTAATGTGTGATGTAAAATACCTGGCTGTAAATAGGTTATATATTTGTTGTTATATTTGCATATAAAAGTCATCTGTTGGTGAATAACAGAATGCATTCAGAAGTTATTAAGGAGGCTTTTTTTTTTACCTGGTCTCTGTTTCATTTCCCATCAGAGGTGATCCGAAGCCTCCAGTGCTCCCTCCCTCTCCTCCAGGACCGGCCATCAAACAGAGCTGCTCCGAGGTCAGTCCTAACCCGGGACCCTGGCCCCGAGATTTGGGACTGTCCCCGAACACCGACGAGGTCACAGAGTCCCTCCTCAAACTCTGTCTGCCAGGAGAGCCTCGTCCCGGCATGGTGCCCCCGTAAGAGTCCCTCATGTCGGGGATCTTCTGAGGGGAGGACGGCTGAGGCACACGCAGCCCCATGGCCAACATGGACGCGGCGTAGGCGTCGTTGTAAAGCGGCCCTCCTGGTCTGTAGAGGGCGCCACTTTCCATTAGCTCTCCCTGTAAAGCAGCTGCTGTGTAAGAGGTGAGAGAACGCATCGATCCGGCACCTCCCCCTCCTCCCCCGCCTCCTCCTCTGCGGTATAAGGAGCCGTAGGGGTCAGCTCGGGCCGGTAGAGGGGAGTGAGGACCTCCTGCCAGACTTAGACGACTTGATTCTTGGCCCAGAGAGTAGGGGTCGGCGTAGATCCCCCCTCCCCCACGCTCGTCGCCCCGCAGCAGCACCATGCTCCTGGACCCCCCCACTTCATCATCGGGCTTCACATCCCTGCGCTCCAGGATGGCGCTGGAGGAGGCGCAGAAGGCCTGCTGGGTGTGGTGGGGCTGGTGGAGCTGTGGTTGCTGGTGGGGAGAGGAGTGGTGAGACTGGGAGTGTTGGTGGGGGTGAGGGTGAGGGTGTGGGTGTGGGTGTGGGTGAGGCAAAGAGTGAGTGTGGTGGGCCGGTCCGGCGTAGGAAGAAGGCCTGCCGCCGCTGTAGAGGAGTCGGGCGCGGGACGGCGAGCCCTGGGGTGAGGCGGAGGAGGATGAATGCTGGGAGGACATGGGAGGGTTGCTGAGGCGGCGGTTGGGTGGAGAGTCCTGAGGAGCGTACACCATCTCCCTCTACGGAGAAATAACAGAACAGAAACAGAACCTGTTACTATCAAGACTCTCAGAGCAGATAATCGATATTAACCGGCTTTAAAAATGATTTTTTAATGATTTTTTTACATTCATTAATCCCTTTACTGAGAGTTAAATTTTAATTTATTTATTTAATAGGGACAATTGCAATTCCAATTGCAATTTAACATAATTTCAATACAAAGCATGAAACTGATGTGCTGCATAAAGAGTATATAGCTATTGTTCATTTCCAACTCGTGTCCCCAGTTGGGCCTTTGTGTAAACAAACAGATTAAAATGTAAACATTCAGTTACATAAAACCCCAGAACACCATATGAGGATATTAAAATGCATTTACAACAATACAAATGCTATAAAGCACTTTAAAATAAAGTTTGAAGATATTAATTAAAAGTGGGTACAGCTCTGGCTTGCTTTGAGCATTTCACCTGTTTTGTAAAAGAGTTTAAGTCCAAGATTAATTTTATTTCAGGTGGTAATGTGTTCCACAGTTTGCATTTTTGATGGAGAAGGCTGATTGACCAAACGTAGTTCTACGATGTTGTCTGCTACAGTTTCCACTCACAGTGGTTCTTGTTACCCTGTTTCCGTCCTGTCTTTGAACGCATCTGGAGAGAGGTTCAGGGCCAGATTGTTGATAAATTTAAAAACAAGTTTGAGGAAACATAAATGCATAAAGCTCTCAAAACTGAGTAGATTGTGTTTTTTCAGTATGTGACAGTGATGCACACATAGGCCTGATATACAAACATGCACAAACAGGAAATGTGGACATGCATTGGTGGAGAGATGTCAGAGTTGCTACACAGGGAGCGTGCCAGAGATGCTGGGGTTGGTGGCAGTACTCCGGAAGTGGCACCTGTCCAGTCATTCCTTGTCCATGCTGAAATTACGTAATTAACCCCAGACTCCAACTCTCTTAAAATCTCATTAAGATGTCTGACAGAAGTTTATTTTCATGTGTTTCTGTTTGTTTATCTGTTTGTCTGCAGGATTAAGTAAACAACTAACGTCCTGTTCTTCATGAAATGTAATGAAAGGATGTTGCATGGATCAAGGAAAGAACCCATTAAACTTTGCCAGACTCATGAACAAGCGATAAAAGCAGATCCACTTACAAACAAGGCCTTGGGGGGTTGCACTCCACATTGCCCCCCTCTTACCCTTTGTATTCAGAAAGTACTCACAAGGACTTTTCGAAAAATATATTTTTATGTCACAATAATTCGGTGCAATTTACTGTAACAGTCATTCAGAGATTGTGTTTCAAGATTGACAGGAAAGACTCCAGATTGGCTCTTTAGTGTGCTTTAGGTTGCACTTGATAGCTTATTGACGGACTGAGCTTGAAGGGATTATCTTTTGGCATCAATCCCAAATGTCAGAGAGAGAGAAAGAGAGGAGAAGGGGGACAAAGCTGAGCAGGACGGAGAGCGCTGAAAGTGAAAACCCTGCGTCTGATTCTTCCAGCCAGGAGTAAAAGATACAAGGAGACAGCAACAAAAGAAGACAACACTGGAATTGCTTGTGACGTATAAAGCCTTCTCCTGGAGACGCTGCAAATTGAAAAACCAATATTTCTACATAATAACCCTAAGGCCTCTTACAACAACACCCTGCGGACAGCCTGGCAGCAGACTAATGACTCGAGTGCCATCATCTTCCATCTTGTAACCAAGCAACGGCCTCGTATCGACACTTTGCTTTAACTGCGATGAGGACATGCAGACATTTTATTCCACCTCCAAGAGCCCCCTGATGTCACAAGAAGACTCTTGCAGGTAAACTCCCCTGAAGCGCTCGTCTCAAAGCTGCGTTCAAGCTTGTGAAACAAAAAGCTGCCAATCAATCTCGTCCTCAACCTGCGATGTGTCCTCCACTCTCAGGCTCTCTGATTGGCCCTCAGTAATCCCGGTCATGCTTTCATGGTCTGCAGTCAGGGAATAATCTCGACTCTGCTGGCTGTGGTTCAATAAGGCTCACACACAAACACACACACACACACACACATGTCCTAGTCAGTCACCTTGACACTGTCAGAAGCAGCGATGCACCTCAAACACATAAAATCTCAAGGTGAGCCCGCTGGTTTGATACGGCCGTAAAATGCTCAGAGGATTTCAGAGCCACGCTCAAACTGAAGACGAGAGAGGCGACAAACTGACCTCTAAAACATTAGCAGGGAATCGTGCACACAGGCAGGCGGGAAAAGCAATCACACACCCGAGCATGTAAACAAAAGGACCCTGGGGTGTTTGATTGACGGCAGCAGAAACGACAAATGTGTCAAAAAGTGGCCTGCTGTCGACAGCGCTCACTTCATCTTAGCTGTTTAACAGATTACAATTTTTCCACAGCGTGCACGCTTGCATATGTTTGCGTCCCTGTAATGTAATTTATCCAGTTCATAATTCATCTTATTCTATAAAAGCAGCATTCTCTAACACTTTAAATTACCACTTTCTCATTTCCATAATCGCTCTGTAATTAGACGGCAACAAAATGCAAGGTCTCGTAAAGACAACACAAAACACTGCAAAATTGAATGATATTATCCACTCTGTCTATCAACTGCAAACGCTTTATTTGGCTCCAGCTGTAACCGAATGCATAGAGCATTAGTAATCATGCTAATCAGGCCCGATGCCACAGTCACTCTCCCGGCAGCCGACTGATGAATTAAGATAAATCCCGAAGTGTCTCATCAATTAGAGCTCGGCACAGAACAGAACAGGAGGGATGTTTCAGGTACTGAGAATACAGCCAGGACGAGGAGATAAGACACAAAAACACTTCTGAAAACAACAGTGTGTAAACTCTGCTGCCCGGGTCACTCAGTGGAAAACAATAACAGAAGATGTAGTTTGATAATAAGCATGAAGAAGCGTGGGATCGTGGGAGATGTTGTCTTGAGTATTAAAAACTCTTATCACTGAGGAAAATCTGAGAGGGGAAGAAATCATGTTCATGGATGAGGTAATAGCAGGAAGTGTAAAATAAATTAAAGTATAATTAACTAAAGTAACCAGATGATTATTTTATCAATTATTGAAATATATCACATTCAAACTTAGTGAGTCCTAAATGAACATTATAAAGCAATGGATGCCTGACAATTATTAACAGCCTGAGGTGGATAAAACAGGTTTTAAATGTTGCCCAGGAGAAGTGAATGGACTTCTGACTACTCAAAGGGCTTTTACACTGCAGGTCACACCTACACATTCACACACTGATGGTAGAGGCTGCTGTGTGAAGAGACCATCAGTATTTACAAATCCATTCATACAAAGCAGCAGGAGCAACATGGGGTGTGAAGTGTCTTGCCCATCTGGGTATCAAACCCAGACCTTCCAGGTGAGAGACGACCGACTCTACCACTGAGCCACAGCCGCCCCTTGCTCTTTCAATCCTGCAGAACATGGCTTCCTTCTCCAATGCTGTCCCTCTCAAGTCTAGGAGTTATTTTGTTGCACAGCCTCATTAAAAAACTCACCAAATCATGTTTTTTTTTTCCATCTATGAAATATAAGTAAAACCGAGATCTCTACTTCCCACTGCTGAACGGGAGATGCTCATACATGCCTTCATTTCATCGCACATTGATTGCTGTAATTGCTCTTCACCTCTCTCAATATGTCTGCCCTCAGGCGCCTGCAGTCAGTACAGAACGCTGCAGCCATGCTTAACAAGGTCAAACAAACGGTTCATCACAGACAAACTCCTGTACTTCGATCCCTTCACTGGCTCCTTGTTACATTCAAAATCCAGTTTCGGATCCTCACTCTCACTTAAAGATCTCTACACGATCAGGCTCCAGGTAACCCCCATCCTTTGGTGTTTATATTTGATTTTAGCGCCCCACCCATATATGTGGATCGGGTATATAAAGGTAAACAGTCCATATGTAGAGGGAGAAAACAAGCACCGTATTTTAATCCCAATCCTGTGGGGCTATTATCTATAGCCAATTCTTGCTCGCCAAGTTTCTAGTCGGACAGTAAACGAAGGCAATGCACCAAACAGGAAGTCCAGAAATGGCCAGAAATCCTGAATAGCTTTCCACTGGTGACACTGAAAGCCATGGAAAGTTGGCTGTTTGATCTCCTGACAATTTAGCCTCTTGAATCTGAGAATTCCCCAAACTGCAGGTCAGCAAACTGCACTCCCGTATGTGTGTACCTGAGTGAAGGTGAATAATTGTAATACTTTCTCTCCTTCAGGTTAAAAGCTCTGTCCCATTTACTACGACTACTACTTCCCCTCTCTGCATCCCTGACCCCGTCCTCACATGAACCAGACCTCACTCCTTCATCTCTGAACAGCTTTTGATGATATTTCTCAGGCTGCAGGCATCCTGTCGAGTCAGCACCCCCGCCATGTGAAGGACTGGCTCTGATCCAGGAGCAGTAGTGCTGGAGTAAGGTCTCATGATTCACTCACACCTTCTCAGAGAGCGTACGAGTCCAACTTATGCTTGGACACATTATTTTAAAGTCCAACTGGTGTTTGCAAACTGAAATAATATCAGAGTCACGTAGGAGGGGATTCTGATGAGGAAGAGGAATATCTGGAGGGAATAAGAGAATGTGTTATTCTCAGGATGGTTCGGTTGGATCGGCCGCCGAGCGGAAAGAGACAAGTGTGTGTCTCGCTCTCTAATCTATGAGTCATGAAGCAGCTGCACAGAGAGTGAATCTGTAATGAAGGGAAAGGTGACTGTAACGGAGGCAGAATCCTTTTCCTGGCATCAGATTACAATTTTGGCTACAAATTATACAAAAATCTAATATATTGAAACCTCACAGATACTGTACAATCTCTGAGTTTCACTCTTTTCTGAGGGACTGTGATTGGACTTCCTTCTGCAGAGATGATTCTTAAGTTAAGGGTGACTCAGTAGAATAGAATAGAATAGAATAGATGTTTATTACCATTTGCACAGGTACAGGACAGTACAGGTACACTGGAATTTTTGTGTGTTTCTCCCTGAGTCAGCTTCTACAAAAAAGTTTAAATTATATATAAAATAGAAAGCATTATAAGAAAAAAAGAGTACAAAAGTATAATACAAAACAATAACAAAGGGAAACACTGTACAATGAAATGAAAATATAAACATGTTTTCTTGTCTCTAACTTTCTACATCTCTTATTGCACCTGAAGGTTATTGCACACATATTTTTCACATTATATATAGTAATTATAGTAATGCAGAAAAACATTCTTGCACCCACACACAAAGATGGCAGGATATCATGAAACACAAACACCTACCCTCAGGTCTCCGTTGGCCAGGTGTGGGTTGTGGTGTCCGGGGTAGGTGCCGTAGATCGGCTCTTTGCAGTAAATCTTAATTACGCAGCGGTCCTGAACGTCCCGCGGGTCCTCCAGCTCATAGAAGACATTGCGGGTCTCATCTTTGATCAGCAGAGCCGTGCTGGGGGACCTGAACATCGATAGTCATCAGAGCAACAACACAAACATCAACACTTTGATAAATAGTCCATCCAAAGACGAACCCAGCTCCTGTTAGCAGCTAATAATCAGTGATGTACTCAGCTGCAGACGAGGAGGCCGATTAGAAGACCTTAAAGTGAAAGAGGCGCTGTAATGAAAAAATCAACTGGATGTAGTCTCATATTGATTTAATGAGAAGTTTATTATTCATCAGATTTGAATTCCTGCAGATAGAAACTGCAGGAAGGCTGAGCCGTTTCAGGGTCGATTACACAGATTATCTTTAATCAACAGCTGGATTTCAATGCTTTTTCATGTTCTGGAAAAAAAGGAAGATTTGTGTTATAAAGAAACTTCAACTAAGCTTCAACCTTAGATGCTTTATTTTATTATGTTCTATGTTTTGTTGTCCTGCTTTAAGTACTGTACATGTGCCTTGTTAGATGTCACACCTCTTACATTTATGACTAAATATCAGCATTTTAGGGAGTATGCAGAAATCCTTGAATACTGCATAAGGCCTTGAGTTATACAGCTTTACTTTTTGAAGTGAAAATGAACAAATAATCTTTTTTTTTAAGTCACTACTGAATAGCAAGCAAGCTCGGCTGACTACCTCCAGGATGTACCACCGGTAGAAAACAAACTAACTGCATGTAGAGGAATAAAGATTGCACCCTCTGACACGTGTTGTGTGTTGTACAAATAAATAATTCATAAATTGCAGCAAAACTTTTTAAACTATACAAGGCTAAACATGCTTCTGTTTTAAGCAAACTACAAAGTAAAGTAACTGATAGTTGCTGCTCCGGCAAATCTGCACAACATTCTGTGAAATATTTGTTGTATCACTTAAATTGTATATTTCATATTTCGGTGTCCTTGAAAGCAACACAATGTAACATTTCCATCTTAAAATAATAGTTTCAAAGTTGCCCTAACACTACTTTCAACAGGCAGAAGAGCGTCTCTCTCATGCCCCCTGTGCGCCCCGGTTGACTGCTTAAACCACTTTGTGATTGTCAGCGGCAAGAATTGTGTACGGTGTTAGCGCACTAGCCAGTTAACTTGTCTTTGTACTGTTTGATACAACAGCTGAGGCTAAGAGGAAGAGGGAGGTGACAGGTGAAGCCAAGAAGAGAAACTGAACTATGTGTTTTACAGCATTGCAGACGCACTCAGATACCAAATCAAATTCCTGCATATTGTTTCTTTAACTCATCGTTCCATGACTGTTGTATTTGGCATCAAAACTGGGATTGTGTTTGGGTCCACTTTTGGCCTGAACGTTTCCATTTCACTCCTCGTTTAGCTTCATCGATTTTATCTGTTTGTTTATAGTCTGCCCTGTTTTCATTCTCCATGTTTTTACAGAATTTAATATTTTCATGTCCGTGTCTGAGGAAGAAAACAAGGAGTCACTTAGACTGCTGCCCTTCTGATTGATTTATAAAACCTGACACTAAATGAAGTGTGAACGTGGCGCTGCTGTCGTTTAAGGAAAATCAATGAACATGTAGACAGTTCAGTATGTCATGTAAACACACAGACATAGTCAGGCTGAGGTAGTGCAGGCGTACCTGAGCATGGCCATGGTGAGCCTCTGGGGGAACATGTGCACGATGAGCGCCCTCAGAGTGTCCAGGCTGGTCAGCTCGTGGGTCAGGTGCACCCTGCGAGTCTCCTCCCCGAGCTGCAGGAACAAGATCCCTGCATGTTTGGAGGAGGAGGAGGAGCAATGAGAGAGAAGACATGAAGCAGGGTGAAGAGGGGGTGATGACGTTTAGATTGAGGGTGGAACAGAGAGAGTGGAAGGAAAATCTGTCACCTCAACATAGTTTGTGTAGAGTACCTGTGACCACATCACCCCTGTTGTTCATAACCTCCACTGGCTCCCCATCCCCCAGCAAATCCTCTTTAAACTCCTCATCATCACCTATAAAACCCTCCATAACCTAGCTCCTCCCTCTTCCGGTCTGAGCTCCTGCACACTCCCATCAGCACTCTCAGGTCTGCTGATTCAAACCTCCTCAAAGATACCTGACAGACATGAAGAACTCCTCAAACCAGTCTTGCCTTTGTTTTGATGCTGGAGCTTCATTGCTTACATTCATTTTTTCCTCACATAGCTCGGTCAATTCCCATGAAAGTCCCATGAAATGACACATAATTATCATTCACCTGGAAGCTAAATCAGTGTGAGCAGAGAGAATATTCTACTCACACCGAGTGTGCAAACTGTAAATGAGTGTGATAGAAGTGATTAAAAAGAACGGGAACTTGGGTGCACGTTGTTTAAGACCATAAAGGAACTCCTGTTGGAAGCATTTTAGCAGCATCGTATTTCTCTTCTCCCTCTAATGTTGGGGGGAAATAATAACTCTCTAGAATATGCTCGGTTAAAAAGTTCAATAAATCATTGGTTGCTTTTTTGCCCCACTTTCCCAGCTCCTGCATCAGCTTCCTCCTCCTTCCTCTCTTCCTCCTCCCTCTCCTCCTCCCCCATCCTGCTCCTCCCTCTCCTCTCCTCCTCCTCCTCCTCCTCCTCTTCTTCCTCCTCCTCCTCCTCCTCCTCTTCCCCTCCTCCTCCTCCTCTCCTCCTCCTCTCTCCTCCTCCTCCTCTTCTTCCTCCTCCTCCTCCTCCTCCTCTCCTCCTCCTCCTCCTCCCTCTCCTCCTCCTCTCCTCCTCTCCTCCTCCTCCCTCTCCTCCCTCTCCTCCTCCTCCCTCTCCTCTCCTCCCTCTCCTCCTCCTCCCTCTCCTCCCTCTCCTCCTCCTCCCTCTCCTCCTCCTTCCTCTCCTCCCTCTCCTCCTCCTCTCTCCTCTCTCCTCCTCCTCTCTCCTCCCACTCCTCCTCTTCCTCCTCCTCCCTCTCCTCCCTCTCCTCCTCCTCCTCTCCTCTCCTCCTCTCCTCCTCCTCCTCCCTCTCCTCCCTCTCCTCCTCCTCCCTCTCCTCTCCTCCCTCTTCTCCTCCTCCCTCTCCTCCTCCTCCCTCTCTCCTCCTTCTCTCCTCCTCCTCTCTCCTCCCTCTCCTCCTCCTCTCTCCTCCTCCTCCCTCTCCTCCTCTTCCTCCTCCTCCCTCTCCTCCCTCTCCTCCTCCTCCCTCTCCTCCTCCTTCCTCTCCTCCCTCTCCTCCTCCTCTCTCCTCCTCTTCTCCTCCTCCTCTCCTCCCTCTCCTCCTCCTCCCTCTCCTCCTCCTTCTCTCCCTCTCTCCTCCTCCTCCCTCTCCTCCTCTTCCTCCTCCTCCCTCTCCTCCCTCTCCTCCTCCTCCCTCTCCTCCTCCTTCCTCTCCTCCCTCTCCTCCTCCTCCCTCTCCTCCTCTTCCTCCTCCTCCCTCTCCTCCCACTCCTCCTCTTCCTCCTCCTCCTCTCCTCCTCCTCCCTCTCCTCCTCCTCCCTCTCCTCCTCCTTCCTCTCCTCCCTCCTCCTCCTCCCTCTCCTCCTCTTCCTCCTCCCTCTCCTCCCACTCCTCCTCTTCCTCCTCCTCCCTCTCCTCCTCTCCTCCTCCTCCCTCTCCTCCCTCTCCTCCTCCTCCCTCTCCTCCTCCTCCCTCTCCTCCCTCTCCTCCTCCTCCCACTCCTCCTCCTCATATGCGAGGAAGATGTTTTAAAGCAGCAGATGATTTGGCTGCTTGTGTAAGTCATAAATCACAGATGACAGGTAGCTTAGTGAGATCATTAGGAGGCATTAGACAGCTCTGTTTATATTCAGAGTTCCTGAAGGCAGCAGACTGAAGTCTGACTTTGACTTTGAGGGCTGAATCAGGATCACCAGATGTTTACACATGATGCCTCCAGGCAACTCAATCAGTGATTCCATGTAAGAAGACGCGGCATCGTAAGTCACAACTTGAGCGTCTTGTTTTCTGCTTGTCAAAAAACATCAAATTATGGCTTACATGCAGTGACATGTACAGAACGTGGTTGGCTTGATATGTTGTTTAAATGTATGATCAGCTGATGTTTGTAAACACTAGACAACATGAAAAGCTTATATCAGATGTCGAGAACTGGCTTTGACTCAAAACGATAAGCGACTGAAAAGTCAGAAACGCCACCATCACGTCCTCTTCTGCCTTAAAGACAGACGACAACAGAGGCATGAAAATCAGCAGTCGCAGGGAAATTTGAGTGAGCTTCTGGGTGGTCGTGTCCTACATCTTTGCTACATGTTTAGCTCTGATACGTCGGCAGATCCTGACGTCAGGTTCTGGACAAGTCTCACAAAGTTCTCGTTCAGAGCAACAGGAAACCACCTCCCAGGTTTAAAACAACAGCTGTTTATCTTGTGTTCAAAACATTTTGATGAGGTTCGGTATGGATCCAACATCGTATAATTATATCAATGTATTTTAAAACAGCAGAATAGATCTCCTTTTAAGGCCAAATGTCAAAGTGCAGCAAAGTGTTTTAGACTTTTTTTCCCTTAAGAAAGTGATCTGACCTGGAGCCCTGAGCTTGGCCTGGCTGGACGAGCGGGCCAGCGGCAGGCTCTGGCGGAGCCGGTTCATCCGATTGAATCCGATGGGCATGTCAGGCTCCGACATGGTCTCCAGATTTTCAGCTGACGCGAAGGACACCCGGTTGGCCTGGTCTGCGAGAGCCGGCTGTGTTGGGCTGAGGCGGGTCACACGAGGCGTGCGCGACTGCAAGACACAAGAAAGGAAGTTAGAAGAGAAGGTAAGAGTGTGCGGTTAAAGAGACATCAATTCCTCCTGTGAAGTAATCAATGAGATGACAGCAAGAAATGTAGAAGATGGAAACAAAAGCAACAAAATGGCCTCAGGAGGTCAAAAAAAGAAAATACTCAGAACAGCTGCTGAGAAGAGAAAAAGCTTTTAGCACCCAGGAGCAGAAAAAACACACAGTTTATCTCAGACAAAGAACCCTCGACGTCTTCTTCTTCTCGAGAGGGACGCTTGATCGAGATGATGAAATCAGAGTCGCAACAACGGAGCAAAACGGCCAAAAAAACAGCTCTTCAAAACATTCAGGTCAGAACACTCTGCACTCAGAACAGTCCTCAAAGATGATGAAAAAAAAAAAGATGCTGCTATTTAAATACAAGACTATGAAGAACGTGGAGAGTGTGCAGCCCGTCTTTCACATGGAGAAAATGACAACACAGATGGAAAATAATCAGCAACCAGACAAAACTCAGACTGAGGCTATGACATTCCTCTACATTAAGAGCAAGATTAAAAATCTGTCATTTAATTTCCTTTGAAAAACAGAGAGAGAGAGAGAGAGAGTGCCAACTTGAAAATCCAGAGGCGGAGATTTCTACTGTTTAAGAGGAAGAGAGAGAGACAGCACTCTCACTGGTACTTTAACAATGCAAAGGAAAACATTTCAAACTAAAGTGATCTCATGTACAGGGGAAATCATTTAAAGATTTATAAACAAGTAAAAGAATCTTAACATCGATTCTTAGAGATGCTACAGTGCCTGAAGCAGCATGATGAGATGTCTTATTAGACTAACGATTTCCCCGCTGCAGCATTTTAAACTAGCTGTGATTTCTTCTTATAGACTTTTCAAGTTTTCCTCTAAAAAGAGAATGACAATGATCGATAGGGCTAAGATATAAAAGCAGAATAACACGTTTGAGTGTCTTAATGAATTAAAGAAGGGAAGACAGGTCAGACTATAGCAGGTCAAGAGATGAAAGAATGATGTTTTTATGACTCCCAAAAACCACTCGACCCCAATAACTGTAAAAGTTTTTACCACTCTGTCATGTTATAATTGGAGGTGGTTCATGGTCACATATTCTGTAAAATCCTCTTCTCCATGTTCCTCTAACTCTAACATGTGTCTCTAGTCCGTCTATGTGTGCTCAAACAGGCCGTTTGGAGATTTTCCCTTCATGACATCACAAAGGGCAGTAGCCCCTCCCCCAGGTGGGTGACACTCCCACAGCTAGGTGTTTGTTCTGCCCTCTGAGTCTGCCTTCTCACCGTAAACAATAGGACATGGAGCGAGAAAGCCCGAGTACACCCAAGCCCTTCCAGAGAGGGGGTGTGGTCAGACACAGCTCATTTACATATTTAAAGGTACAGACACAGAAACAAGATATGTAAATCCCAAATTCAGAGAGTCTTGTCTAGATCTCATCCCTTCAATAGGAGAAAGGTTTCCTGACTACAAAACTCTACCTGAAGTAGTGCTTGTGATTCCAGTCTCCTGTGTGGGAGCAGAGCGAGGCTTCAGCCTTCAGAAAGTAATTCAGACGGCCGTGAGGAGTCGTCTGTCTCAGGCAAAGATGCAAAACCTAATGACCGTCGCCTCTGCTGCAAACGCCCCTGATGTTTCTGATGACGCTCCAGCATGCACCCAGTTTTTCATCCATGTGGACCAAGAGAAAGGTTTGAGTTATGGGAACAAACGGCCAATTGAGTTCTAGTTAAATGTTTGTTTCTGTTTTCTTCTGTATAGTTCATATCTGCTTGTTTGAGGACAAAGGCCTCGGAGTCAGTGCAGGAATGCTCTTATAACTGCACAATCTGTAAGACTGTTATTCATATCTAATATTATTTGTGATATAGTTGTTCTCTCAAATGAATGCTTTTAAAAGAAGTCATGTTTCATTGTCACTCAAAATGGAAAATAAAAATGACGGGTAATTACACGGTGTGACCATATTCTTACGACTCTGTCCATCGAAGTGACACACAACAAGAAAGTGTAACGCAACCTCTAGTTAATGTCGATGACAGTTGTCTATTGGCAGACAAGCCAGAGGGAGTTTAATTTCATGATAGTCAACTCACTAGCAAACGCTGCACAGCAATCATTTAGCATCACGTTCATAGCTCTGAGTGAAAATTGGGGTGCCTCCTTTTCGGCCGCACCTCTGCAGTTTAAAGATCATCCAAAATGGTTTTGAGGTATGTTTCCTGATGGTTACATATGGCTTTTTTCAATTCATTGTGCACGCTTAATGCACAAAGCCCTTAACGTGATGTGATGATTTGTTTTTACTATTTCAATCCAAGTTTCAGATAGATAGATAGATCCTTTAATAATCCTTTACAGGAAATTACAGTGCCACAACAGCTTCAAGACAGACATAACACCACATATTTCATAAGATAGCTTCCATACTTAATAAGTTAAAACACAATAAAAAATAGCAGAGGCTTTCAAATGGCAATTAAAATTTAAATCAGAATCTAAAATCTCTCCCAGTTCTGAACACAGATTAAACATAACACCCATGTTTATCTGCAGCTTTTCTCAGCTTCACTGTACGTAAAGAACTGACCACGTGCGCAGTGAAACGCTAATGAATGAATAAACAAAGCCTCTATCTATAATGCTGATTACTGCTAATATTCACCTGTCCAATTTGAGCCACTGGGGAGAGTAAATTGTGAAGGACCTCTCATTACAGCGGGACCAGGAGCTGCTGCAGCAGGTTGGCTTTTAATGAATCCTCACTGACAGACATTTTCCAGCCCAGAGAATACAGTAATGAGCTCCCACAGTGCTGTGTCTGAAGCCAAACTCCCAGCTCCTCGTGCATCTGTGGTCTGTGCTCAGTCCTCACAAGCGTTATGTGGATGCAGCAGCTTGGCTTCAACAAGCTGAAAGCATCATGCATGGCACTCATCCATGTGCACACAAACATGTAAGAAAGGTAAACAATCCCGTAAAGAGACATGAAACACATATGCAGACACACGTGCATCTGTTGCACCAAATTATATCACCGGGGGCTTTGCTGCTTCTGCATAAATAATGTGTTGAAAACGTCCTTTAGAAAGGCTGAACGCGAACACGAGCACCCACACATCTCCTGACGCCCGAGAACAGGCTGACAGATTATGTGCACAGCCTCTCATATGTTTGGAGATTTATGGTCTCTGAGGCTGCTTGTCAGCCAGACGCAGGCACACCTTCTGCCTTCAACAAGGAGCACAAGAAACGAGCCGCCGAAAGAGAGAGAAGAATGCAGCGACTGGGAATTATAAAGTTTGTGTTTAGTGAACGGTGAAGAAAAAGAGAGCAGAGAGAGGTGAGGAGGAGATCGTGCCAGAGCTCATGAGCACAGCAGGAACACGGAGAGAGAAGAGAATAACAAACGGGAGAGAGAGATACTCAGATCGATGAACTGACACATTCTCTAATTTTCTTATTAAACTTGTCTCTGAGCTGATGTCCTTTAAGTTGTAGTGTTTGGTTTGAAAATCACTTCTGTATGGTCTCTGTTACGTCTCCTAATAGACCACATTTTTTGAACTCGTCTCAGTATCAGAAAAAAAAAGGACATGGATGGGTCAAGGCGACTTGTGTGAGGAAAAACCTCAGATGATTCCTTATCTGTATTCTGTGAGTTTTTCTAAGGGAAGTCGGATTGGTTTTTAGGGTCTACAGTTCCCATATTCCACATGTTATTGTCAGTTTGTTCATCAGTCTGGGATGTGCACTGGTCTGATCTCTGACTGGGCCAACTCTAAGTCTGTCTACTTTTTAAACTCTCTATTTCTTTGACTTTGTCCTACTAACATCAGCACTATTACGCCCACAGTACTAGTGGGTAAAGGAATTGCAGCTTGCCAGTTAATTTCTGTGCACGTTTCCCTCGAGCATGTCATCCTCATACATGACTTCAACTTGAGCCAGATTGCGTTTGGACCAGTGGTTCTTATCTGGTTGGTCAGGACCAAAAAGAGTAGTTTTCAGTGGGTGAGTGGAAAAAAACCCTGGTCTCAAACAGTCTGTCAAGCGATTTTTTAAACATGTTTTGTTGTTGGTGGTGGGTCCTGAGGCTAGACATACTGTAACACTAACAACAAGTCAGCTGATTATGGGATGATTCTCAGTACGGATGGGACAAAATATCTATAAGGTAATCTATAATCGTCCTGACTCATGAGATACTATTATTGAATCACTGGTGCGAGATATCGATACTTATTTCCCAGCCAATTGGACTCATCATGTCAATACTTCATGACTCTTCCTGGTTGAGCTTTTAACATGAATAATGGTTATGTGAATGAAAGTTAATTGGCCTAATGGTTGGCTCGTGCACCCCATGTACAGAGACCATGTATGTACGTTGGCCAAAGAAGAAGTATGCGGGATAATGTGAGACAACAGAAGTGAGAGGATGAAGCGTGCAGAGACGTAGAAAGGAAACTAAAGTGCAGTGCACAAGTATTTCTAAATGAACATAGCTATGTATATATTTTTATAGTTGACCAGATTTTGTAACGCTGTTTTACAGGATTGCTGCAAACCAAGTTTTGTTGTGTTCTTCTATACAATGACAATAAAGTGCCTGTCTTCTTCTTTTTTTATTTTTTGGCTCTATGAGATAGGACAGCTTAAGAGAGACAGGAAATGTTGGTGGTAGAGAGTGGGGGATGACATGCAGCAAAGGTCTGAGGTCTGATTCGAACACACAGCCGCTGCGCTGAGGACTGTAGCCTCATAATCGCTAGGCTATTAGCGCACCAAGAAAGTGCCTATCTATGCATCTACTGTACGCATCTATATCACATATCATATCACGATCGTATCACATATGGACGATGGGGGTAAAGATGAGTCCTGAACAGCTACCAATCCCTCTTCATGACGTGGATTATTTTGTTTTATAGCGCGGTGTTAAAATGAAAATGTAGTATTATAGACT